GTACCTAATACTTGTTTTGATTTGAATAGGTAGCGATATTATGAATTTATTATACGTAATCTAAAGATTTTGACGAAATAAAAGTAATTAGTTATCTGTTAACCTTGACTTCATGCTGGCACCAGTATTATCAGATGATGAACATACTCTTCGAAAACTTACAGCAGAAATATCGTGTTTGGACTCATTAGATAGGTCTCGATGAATAGAGTTTAAAAAACTTAAAATAAATGGTACATTAGAAATAATGTATAAAAACCCCTTACGTAAAATTCAACCACTTTAAACTTAATAATAATAATAATTAGGAAAAGAGAAAAGCTATACATGCACTGAAAGTAATTGATGCCTTCCACACAATATTTTCAGTATTAAACAACTCTGTTTGTTCAGTAAAAGTGTAAATACACTGGTAACCTTTAATCATATTTTATATGCAAACATTACATATACAAACACTAAAGTTTTATTTCAGAATAGCCAGTAGTTTTCAAGAAATAAGTCTTTGAAATTGTACGTGTAACTTATATATATACCTACTAGTTTTTTCACCATAACAAACAACACCAATATGGCCTAGTTAGTAGTTTACCTGTGTACCAATTAATAATAATAGTAATCTCAGGACAATTCATACAGCTTCATCTAGACCCAAGTTAAGCTAGCTGAAGATTATGTTATGGGTACTGATATAAATACAAAGATTTTTTCGTAAATACATATATATTATCTATACATAGAAAACACCCAGACCGTTACAAACAATTTAATAATAAGTTAATAGTTTAATAAGTACGTACGTAATATTATCACATGGTAACAGCACGTATTATGGCAAAAATAAACATCGGCTGATTTGAAAAGATTTATTATAGTAATAATAGTAATCTCAGGACAATTCACACAGCTTCATCGAGACCAAAGTTAAGCTAGCTGAAGATTATGTTATGGGTACTGATATAAATACAAAGATTTTTTTTCGTAAATACATATATATTATCTATACATAGAAAACACCCAGACCGTTACAAACAATCATACTCATGAATACAAATGTTTGCAGCGTGCGAGGAATCGAACCCTCGGCCACCAAGCAGGAATCAAAGCAGTGTGCTAGCTAAATCGCTAGACTACGGACAACTAGCTGTATACCCGACTTCGTCCGCGTGGAATTTAACTTCTTATATTTTAGAAAAATAAAGTTAAATTCAACACGGACGAAATCCCGTGTACAGCTAGTCATCAATAAAAAAACATGTAGGTATCTCTAATATATTATACACTAGCTGTTCCCGCGACTTCGTCCACGTGGTTTTTAACTTTATTTTTCTAAAATAAAAGTAGCCTAAGTTACTCCTTATTACATCAGCTACCTGCCAAAAAAAGTCCCGTCAAAATCGGTCCAGCCATTTCAGAGATTAGCCGGAACAAACAGACAGACAGACAAAAATTGTAAAATATGTTATTTTGGTGTATGTACCGTATTTATATTCATATGCAAGTAGTAAAAAACGGTTATTTCAATATTACAAACAACAGGCTTCAACATTCTCAAGTACCACAAAAAAGATGTTTTTTCTATCAAATAAACCGTTTTTATTAAAAACAAGCTGTTCCCGCGACTTCGTCCGTGTGGAATTTAACTTTATTTTTCTAAAATAAAAGTAGCCTAAGTTACTCCTTATAAATCAGCTACCTGCCAAAAAAAGTACCGTCAAAATCGGTCCAGCCATTTCAGAGATTAGCCGGAACAAACAGACCGACAGACAGACAGACTAAAATTATAAAAATTGTTATTTTGGTATATGTACCTTATATATATTCATATGCATGTAGTAAAAAACGGTTTTTTCTATATTACAAACAGACACTCCAATTTTTATTAAATGTATAGATGTATAGATTATTATTTATTTATTTATTTATTCATCCAAAATAATACAAATTGTGTAGGATAACGTAATAGTAACATTACAGTAAAATTTTGTCAACAACATAACAGCAACTTAAACATTAAATCTCGGTATATCTATAGACTAACTGACCCCAGCGACTTCGTCCGCGTGAAATTTTATTTTATTTTTCTAAAATAACAGTAGCGTAAGTTACTCCTTATTACATCAGCTACTTGCCAAAAAAAGTCCCGTCAAAATCGGTCCAGCTATTTCAGAGATTAGCCGGAACAAACAGACAGACAGACAGACAAAACTTGTAAAATATGTTATTTTGGTGTATGTACCGTATTTATATTCATATGCAAGTAGTAAAAAACGGTTATTTCAATATTACAAACAGACACTCCAATTTTATTTACATGTATAGATGTATAGATTAAAAAAAAAGTAACAGTCATAAGGCTAGTCGTATGCCTAATATATATAATAATGTAATAAATTCATTTAAACAGAAATTGCGGGAACATTATTTAAATTTGTAACTTTTTTACTGTCCTTCTCCTTTTTTCACATCTTTCTGTTATATCCATATAGTTCTCTCTATATTTTCTGATTTTCTTACTTTCAATTTGAGACTGTACTTATAATTTGATTATCGGATCATTATGTATTTACTTATATATAATATTTATACATTTATGGGTTATACTTAGATATATATTTATGTATGTATATTGTTATTTTTTTATAGAAATGTATATTTTGCTTATCTTTATTATCTTTATAAATCTTTTTTTGACATTTCTTATTTATATTAGTGCACCGCCAATAATCTTTCGCTGCACCACTCATGGTTGCCTGGTAAATAACGCGGCAAAATATTAAGTACGTCACATGTACAAATTTTTTTGTGCATTAAAGTTAAAGAAATAAAAAAATACAATACTGTTTAATGAAAATGCGTGTTGTCTAGTGCTTTGAGATGTATCAAAATAAGGTCAACAAAAAAGTCCGTGATGGTATATGTCTATCTCTTAAGGATAACCAACAATAACCATTTTTTATCTTTTACATTTTACGGGATTTTTTTTTATCGTATGTTTCCCTTAAAATCATGTAAACTATGTTATTATGTCATAATCTAAAGAAATAATAATATTTTATAGTGACATATCCACTATAAAATACCAAAAAGTAGCAATGTAATTCGTTACGCGCGAATCAGGTGTTATAAGGTCAAAGGTCGGTGCACCCCGCGTATTTGATAAATAGTGCTTCTCTGGATGTCTTTAAGAGAAAATGGCAGTATGTACGTGTATATGTACAAGTCCTTAAGTGTTAAGTTTTTCAAATGTACATACAGTAAAGAATAAATATTTTTAAGTACAGTACTTACGTACATTAATATAATACCTACTTTTTACTTGTATCTATTGTTATCAAAATTAAATTATAAGTTCTTAACTTGACCACGACTATGTGACCCTCTCTTGGCGCCAAAACGAGTGAAAAAATGAACAGCATACGACGACGACGCAGTACCTATAGAGTGGAGCAACTGCTTATTCAGTTTTATTCAACTATTTAGTCCCTCCACCGTTACAATGAATGGAGGCGGATATTACAATGTACGTAGCATTGCGAATATAAAATATCTAGATTAGGTATAATAAATTCATAATTCATAGGCCGTTACGGTATCAGAGCCAAAGTCTTCTTTCTTTGTTTATGTACTGTTAGATGCGACAGCGACTTTGTTTTTATATTACTATGTAATGATTGATATACCTAAAATAAATAAAATATCTGAGGTTTGGACAAAAATTCAAAAGGTACTTAATTTTTAAAAAGTATTTTGAAAATACCTATTTTGCATTTAGTATTTGAAATACAAAACACAAAACTATTTTTGTTTTTAGAGTGACATTTCTATGAATTCACTGTCGATAGCGAGCGGTGCGATGGAAAAAGATAACCGTTTATAAAAATATAATAAATAACCCTGGACAATTAAAACAGACTGATACTGAACTGATATAAATAGATATTTTTATTTTGTAAATACATATATAATATACATATAAAACACCCAGACCGATGAAAACAATCGATGACCGATGAGTACAAATGTTTGCATCGTGCGAGAAATCGAACCCGCGACCATCGGATGTAAAGCGGTGTGACCACCGAGGCAGTCGAAATATATGAATAATCTTATGAATTTAATTTATTCTAATTTGTTTATGTGCGCGGGATGCGGTGTACGGTGCTCCCCCCTGCCTCCACCGTTGCTGGAGCTTGCATGTATGGAGCATTGCGAATATAAAATATCTAGATTAGTAAATTCATAATTGATAGACCGTTACGGTATCTATATATATTCGGATTAAAATAAGTATCGCAGTAAGGACCAGTATATAAAGTGATCAACACAATTAACTGATTTTTGAAATATATATACAGAGCCAAAAAGTCTTTGTGTATTCAAAAAATATCTAATTTGTTTGTGTGCGCGGGGTGCGGTGTACGGTGCAGGGGGGACCCTGCCTCCACCGTTGCTGGAGCTTGCATGTATGGAGCATTGCGAATATAAAATATCTACATTAGTAAATTAATAAATTCATAATTGATAGACCGTTACGGTATCTATATATATTCGGATGAAAGTAAGTATCGCAGTAAGGACGAGTATATAAAGTGATCAACATAATTAATTGATTTTTGGAATATATTCAGAGCCAAAAAGTCTTTGTGTATACCAAAAATTTAGCCGTTCGGAGCCATTCAGTCACGAATTATTAGTAAAAAAAGTGTCGAGTATATCGTACTATCGACGAATATATATGGCCACATCGCAAAATAGAATGCGACGTTGCCATACCGCCTGAGATATACGCGATAGGAGTCAAGTTATTCAGTGCAAAAGGTGGAATCGGCAAGTGTGTAGGTTGTGGCGTGATCAACAAAGTGCCCAAAGAGGTGTTTATATATATATATATATATTATATATATATATATATATAATAAAAAAAAAATGTTTGAATAAATAAATTTATTTTATTGCAATAAATATAATTTAACATATTAACAATATGAAATCTTTACTTAGTATACAAGAAAATAGACGCTGTCTGTTCACTTATACCTTTTAAATCCCATCAAAACAAAATGTGAAATGAGAGCCAAGTTATATATTATGATATACTAGCTGTACTCGCGACTTCGTCCGTGTGGAATTATACAAAAAAGTTTGAGAATTTTTCTAAAATAAATGTAATATTTCTACCTCTGCTATCGTTACCGTAACAATACAAATGAATCTAACAGATGCCATATTAAATTCAAATATACTCAAAGAAATATGGGCATGTCAAATGCATACGCTACATCGTTGGCAACCTTATTACATCAGCTACCTGCCAAAAAAAGTCCCGTCAAAATCGGTCCAGCCATTTCAGAGATTAGCCGGAACGAACAGATAAGACGGACAAATATTGTAAAAAATGTTATTCTGGTGTATGTACCGTATTTATATTCATATGCATGTAGTAAAAAACGGTTATTTCAATATTACAAACGGACACTCCAATTTTATTTATATGTATAGATGCCTTGGTTGTTGATTTCAACGACAAAAGAAGTGAGATCTAAATGGATGCCAAGTTCAATGGTTATTCGTGAAATTTATTTATAACAACATAAAATATATTTTCTTATAACTTATGTAGGACAATATATAATAGCCAAACTCTGACTTGGTTAGATTTCATGCAGTCTCTCGAGAAAAACTCGGCAGTTCATTCCACAATTTGATAGTATAAATCCAAATAAACAACACATCTTCAAATCGGCTGGCTGGTATGATGCGTGCCCGAGGATGACGCACTCTTCTCTCTCATCTCCCGTTTCTTGCGTCTCACTTTATGTCTGTTCTTGTGTATTCTCATTAGAGTCACCGACTTGAACAGAGCCGGACATTCGTCGCACTGGAAATATTAAATGTTTTGAAACAAAAATTAACACAATTATGTTCAGCTTGGAACTAGATGGCGCTGTGTGAATTGGCCTAAGATAATTATTATTACTTATTTATATATTATACTTTTTAGTATTCTCCCTTAGGGGGTGATAAAATTGTCTTTTTTTAAACATGCAACACGTAACATGCAACATGTCTGGCAATGAGCAGCGCAAGTTATAATAATGCTACGAACAATATATGAAAATATGGAGTTTCTTAAAATAACGAATTTGATATGAAATTTTTTACACCTTTGTTACCTGGTACCTGCCAAAGGAACCACGATCCAGGTTTCATGTTTGGGGATCGTTCTCACCTGTGTTGGGGACACACATACAACAACTTTCACGTTTACTAATATGAACTTTAACTTCCAGGACCTAAACCAGCAGGTTTATACATTCACTAACGCAGCGATATAATACTGAAATTTTACATATATTAACGTTAACTTGAGTTAATTCTTCTGAAATGTGCTTTAACGTTTAACAAAGCTAACTTTTTTGTAGCGGATTAACGAAGTTAACTATTTGATTAACGGTGCCCAGCTATGGGAAGCACTAGTTTAAAAAACACTAACGGGTACTGTCTTGTGTGGTAGGTGGATGGCGATGTGCTGCAGGTAGGTGCTGCGTCTGTGGAACCCGCTCCCGCACGTGGAGCACACGAAAGGTTTCTCCCCAGTGTGAATCCTCTCGTGGATCTGTAAACCAAATCACTATTATTACTCACTAAACGATTACTTGAATGACGAGCGTGCATGGCAATAGTTGTTCATGCACGGGATTTTCATTTAATGTTAGACATAGACACCTATATAAATACCTATACATTGTAAATAAACCGGATTTAAAAAAGATTTCGAGCGATCTACTGTATGAAGAGTCGTGACTCATTAAGAGAGAAATTCAAAGAGGCAAATATTCTCACCGTTGCTTCTCAATTTATATATTTAAATATCTTATATGTTCATAAAAATCTTGACTTATTTCCAAAAAACAGCAATATTCATAATATTAATACTAGATTTAAAGACAAACTTGCTGTCCCCAAGTATCGTTTAGAAAAGTCAATAGGTCTTTTATGGGAATAGGTATAAAATTTTACAATAAGATACCAAAGTATATGTTGGAATTACCCTTAAATAAATTCAAAACATCTGTTAAATCATATTCACTGAGCAAGGCCTATTACTCACTAAACGATTACTTGAATGACGAGCGTGCATGGCAATAGTTTTCATGTTCGGGATTTTCATTTAATGTTAGACATAGACTAATAATAAAATAGTCGGTTCCTGTTTTATTATTAGTAGTAACTAGCAATCGAAAGTAATAATTGGTATATGAGAACTGGCCAAGTCAGACCTTAGGCTACAGTATATTATCCTAAGTTATAAGAAGAAATGATATTATATATTGTTATAAATACATTTCAGGACAGACCATTGAACTTGGCACCCATTTAGATCTCATCTCTTTTGTCGTAGAAGTCAACAATCAAGGCATATATCATAATATTGAACTCGGCTATCATTTGATGGGATTAATATTACCTTGACCAGCTCGGGATTGGAACCCCGGTACTCGCAATAGGAGCACTTGTCGGTCTTCTCGTAGCCGTGCTTCGCTTTGCAGTGCATCACCAGGCGGCGTCTCGTCATGAACTTCCGGCCGCAGTGCTGCAGTGACAAAAGAATTTATTTGTTTGAACGCGCTAACCTCAGGAACTACTGGTTCGAATTGAAAAATTATTTTTGTGTTGGATAGTCCATTTGTCGAGGAAGGCTTTAAGCTATATAACATTACGCTACGACCAATAGGAGCGGAGCTGCAATGAAATATATTGCAACAGGTGGGAAAATGAAACGCAGACGATGTTGCGCGGGTCAACTAGTTATATATATAAAATTCTCGTGTCACAATGTTAGTTACTGACCATGACCACTGACCACCTTCATGAAGGAGGACTACTGTCCGAAGGGTGTAGTGTATCGGCGCTACAGTGGCAGACTACCGTCGTCAGTGCCGTGAGCACACAGACAATTTTATCTTATATATAAAATTCTCGTGTCACAATGTTAGTTACCATACTTCTCTGAAACGGCCTGACCGATTTTTATGGAATTTTATATGCATATTCAGTAGGTCTGAGAATTGGCTACTATCTATTTGTCATAGCCCTGAGTGATAAGGTTTGTCCACCCCTAACATTCTTTTTTCCATTTTTTTGTGGCATGAAATAAGATAAGTCATATTTTAGAAATTATTTTAATTGACAACAATGACGACCTCGGTGGTCTAGCGGTCTAGCACACCGCTTCGCCGATGGTCGCGGGTTCGATTCCTTGTACGGCACAAACATTTGTATTCATGAGTATGATTGATTGTATCGGTCTGGGTGTTTTCTATGTATAATATGTATGTATTTACGAAAAAATATCTATGTATTTGTATCAGTTGTCTAGTACCCATAACACAAGCTTTAGTTAGCTTAACTTGGGCCTAGATGGCGCTGTGTGAATTGTCCTGAGATTATTATTATTATATTATGAACAATTACCTCACACACATATTTCAATCCATTATGAGTCTTGTAATGATTGAACATGGATACTTTGTTTTTAAACTGTTTATGGCAATATTTGCATTCCACCAGACAATTGTCTGCTGTTTTGTCCTCTATTCTACCTTGTGATATATTCTCTTCTTTGCTATCTTCTGGAGGTACCTAGAAGGATATGAAGTTAGTTAATAACTGCAGAGCTTGAATAATATTTATATTCAAATTAAAATTCATAAATCATTTATTCATGTAGGACATTTTAGCAGTTTATGAACGTCAAATTTTTTACATTATAATTTAATTTTTTTCCCTACCGTCCAGTTCAGTGTACAGATTCTATTGAGAAGAACTGGCAAGAAACTCTACTGAATTTCTTATTTTTTTAAAGCCAGTTTATTTACAATGTATATTTATATAGGTGTCTATGTCTAACATTAAATGAAAATCCAGTGTATGAACAACTATTGCCATGCACGCTCGTCATTCAAGTAATCGTTTAGTGAGTAATAGGACTTGCTCAGTAAATATGATTTAACAAATGTTTTGAATTTATTTAAGGGTAATTCCAGTATATCCTTTGGTATCTTATTGTAATTTTTTATATCCATTCCCAAGTTATATCAATTGTCTAGTACCCATTAGACAGGCTCTAGTTAGATTAAAACTAGATGGCGCTGTGTGGGTTATATCCGGTTATTATTATTATTATATAAAAATATTACCTCAATAATTATAGGTTCATTTTTCATATTATTACTGTATGTTTTTTTATATGTAATATTCTCAAACACAAGTTGTTTCCTCTGCTTTAATAATTCTTCAACTGTTGTTATATATTCCATGCTATCCATTTCGCCATCTACTTTTTTATTACAACTTAATCTATCTGAGTCCAGCATATCATTGGAACTACCATCTTCGGATACAACCTCCACTTTCACACATGTAACACTTATGTTGTTTTCTTTGTCAATAGTTACATCATTATTGGTACAGCTTAATTTCTCGGATAGAGTTTTATGAGCTTGTTGGGAAGTGTCTCTGAAGTCCAAATATTGATTTATGAAGTCCACACATTTGGTACAGAGTTGTTGGGGCATACCATCATTAATTTCAATCTGGAATATATCAAAATATATACATATAAATAAAATTTAAGTGTCTGTTTGTAATATTGAAATAACCGTTTACTACATGCATATGAATATATATACGGTACATACACCAAAATAACATTTTTTACAATTTTTGCTTGTCGGTTTGTTTGTTCTGGCTAATCCTTGAAATGGCTGAACCAATTTTGGCGGGGTTTTTATTGGCAGGTAGCAGATGTAATAAGGAGTAACTTAGGCTACTATTTTAGAAAAATAAAGTTAAATTCCACGCGGACGAAGTCGCGGTTATAACTAGTATATTTGTAATAATATTAATATCCCAAGACAATTCACACAGCGCCATCTAGTCCCAAGCTAAACAGAGCTTGTACTATAGGGGCTAAACAACTGATATAAATACATAGATATATTATTTGTAAATACATACATATTACACATAGAAAACACCCAGACTGATATAAACAATCATACTCATGAACACAAATATATGTACCATGCGAGGAATCGAACCCGCGACCATCTGAAGGCGGTGTGCTTAAACCGCTAGAATAAATAGTAATCAGTAAACCAAACAATATAAATAGACATCTAGAACCGAGGGCGTAATACTATCTCACTGATGTATTTACATTGGTTGGATTATACGAAATTCGTCAATATTCGTCTAATACATGCAGTGGCCATTTTAAGAACTGACAAAGTGGATATTTTAGTCAATACATAATTTTTAAATTAAAATATTAATAGAATTATAAGGAAATACAAAAAAAGAGTATGCAGCATGACTCTTTTACCTTTAGTCCGGTAACCATAAATAATACATTGGTATATTCAGTGCTGATATTCGGAAATTGAAATATGGGGTTCAATGATTCTGAATTCAAACATGTTCTGCAACAATTCCACTCGTTCATATTTAAAACATATATTTTATTTATGTCAATTAGAAATGCAATACAAGAATAGAGTAAATTAATAAATAGTTTATGTATGTTCTCAGAATAATTATTGCAAAGAATATACTACTCAAGAGAATTATTGTAAACAAAAACAAATGAAAAACAGATTATGAGACGGAAAACCGTACTTTTTTATTTTATACGGCTGTGGGTGGAAGGCTTCTTGAGGCAGGCAGTTTTTGGGAATGAATATTAAAAATTGCTATTTTGATATGAAATCATTAAATTAATTACAAGTTATGAAAGCAAAATTTTTGTCTTTTTTGATTTTTATAAAACTACGAGTAATTTAAATAATACGTATACAACACACAGAAAATTATCTGTGTATTTTACTACTCTGTAATCTAATGTTTTTAAAAAGAATTTTCTTGGTACATATTTTATTTTACACTTTTATTTATACTCGTTTATTATAACAATGGATTTATATATATACATTCTGTTAATGTAATTATTAAAATATCATTTTATTATACAATTTATGACACACGCCATGTATCCGTGGAACTGTTGCAGAATATGTCTTAGTTTACAAAGTTTAAATACGATATTTCGGCGGCCCGAACACAGTGAAAAGTATTCAAATGCGATATTTATAGCTACAGGAATTAAGGTATAAATTCGATTGTTATATTAATAAGTTATTACAGTATAATCTTTGCTGGTATGTCATTTTTTCTGTCCAATAGTTTATTACCCGTATATATTTGTAAACTTCTTCGATACTGTGGAACGCAAGGTACTCTGTAATAAAGCGAGTATAAGCATGTGAATTAATTAAAAAATATAGAGAATTAGAATATATTATATTTGCAATATACAGTAAAGACAAATAATATATTACACTAGCTGACTCGCGCAACTTTGCCTGCATTTTATTTCCCCACCTTTTGCAATATATTTCATTGCAGCTCCGCTCCTATTGGTCGTAGCGTAATGTTATATAGCTTAAAGCCGTTCTCGACAAATGGACTATCCAACACAAATAGAATTTTTCAATTAGAACCAGTAGTTTCTGAGATTAACGCAATTAACAATTAAGCTTTAGCTTAATAATATTAATTAATAATAATATATTAATATATAATATATATATATAATTATTTTTTTATATATATATTATATATCTCCCTTTGATGGGGTAATAGACCGATCATTGCGGGTAAAAATCACCAAACAATGATAGTATAAATTATGATGAGGATGGATAATTTTTAAGTGTAAGTTATCATTATTATTATTATTATTACTATAAATTAAGTTTGTTCATGTATAGTTACAATAAGACGGCCTCATTGTTTAAAGCAAGTGTTTTGTTTTAATCATGGAACTGGAATCTTGAAAAAGGTAGAAAAAAAAATAACAACCTTAATGGCTATACCATAGGCTATGGTCACCATCCACCATCAATTGTTTGCTAGCTATATTAAATGCAATGATGAAGGAAAATATTATTTCAATTTTGTAATTGTAATTTTGATTTGTGTAATGTTAATTTAGAATGTTTTGAAATTTATTTTAATTGTGGTAGTATTAATTTTTTTCTGTTTTATGAGATGACATGTTATATACCATAAAATGTAAAAAATAAATAAATGAATTAACAAGTCCTTATGATTTTAGTTAATAATGAAAAAAAAATTTATTCCTATAATTTTAAAAATAATAATTTCAGATCGAAATCAAAGACGATTTACCTCAGCAAATGTGTTCATTATGCATTAATTTCATTAACGAGTCTGTCAAATTCCACAAGAAGGCTGAACAGACACAGAAAAAATTACTGGAGCGAGTCGAAAATAAGGAATTCCATAATATAAAAGTTGAAACTGCCGATTGTAAACTTGAGGATGAAGTAAGTCATTCAGAAATCGTTATAGATGTACCTGAAGATGCGGATAATGATTTCAAAGACTATGATGATAATATCCCATTAGATACATACCCATATTATAATGATAAAATCGTGAAAGTTCCAACACCGTTAATTCTAGAATATAGAGAGAATATTGCTGTTAAATCGAAACGGAAAGTTTTGAAGAGCAGAAAGAAGGATGGGGATAAAACTGAGGGAAACGGCAAAGGTGTTAATAGACGGAAGAAAGGAGAGAAGGTGAAGGAAGAAATCGAATGTGAATATTGTCACAAGATATTGACTTCTAGATTGTCATTGAGGAATCATTATAAAATACATACTGGATTTGATGTTGTCTGTGAGGTGAGGAATTAAGTAACTTGTATTGAACTACTTTTTAAAAATATATTTAAAATTATAAATAATCTTTCCTGACAGTATTATCTGATTGTACCAAGAATCAGTGTGAAGTGGTTTCTATGTTGATTATCGCATGCCTCTTACTTGTTATTGTCTAATTATTTATTTTAAATAACATCTATTTAAAAGAGCAACAGGCAAGTTTTTGCTCGTTCTTCTTGTGATAAGACAGCTTTGCGAATGAGCGGTAGATTAAAAACAAATGTGATGACTATTCACGACCTCGGTGGTCTAGCGGTCTAGCACACCGCTTTACGTCTGGTCGCGGGTTCGATTCCTCGCACGGCACAAACATTTGTATGCTTGTTTATATCGGTCTGGGTGTTTTCTATGTATAATATGTATGTATTTACAAAAAAACAAAACCATGTATATATATCAGTTATCTAGTACCCATAACACAAGCTTTAGCTAGCTTAACTTGGGTCTAGATGGCGCTGTGTGAATTGTCCTCAGATTATTATTATTCAAAAGTGCTTAAATTAAGTATGTTTGAATAACTGATATTCTATTCTATTCTATTCAAATTCAAATTCGAAAAGAATTTATTCATGTAGGACATTTTAGCCGCTTATGAACGTCAAGTTTTTACATTATATATTTTTTTTCCTACCGTCCAGTTCGGTATATAGATCCAATTGAGAAGAACCTAATAATACCTTATTTCTTGCAGCACTGTGGCAAGAAATTCATTACTCGAAGACTATTGCTGATGCATTGCAGAGCGAAGCACGGCTACGAGAAGACGGACAAATGTTCATTTTGTGACTATAAGGCTTCAAATGCTGAACAAGTTAAGGTATAACATAAAGATCAACCTCATGATCTAACGGTATGACACACCAGTTTAAAACAACATATGCATGATGACTAGGGCCCTCACAGGACACTGCAAATTAAACAAGCATATGGCTAAACTAGGCCTATGCACGACAAAAATCTGCAAATTCTGCCAAGCTGAAGAGGAAACGCCGCTTCACATCCTATGTGGTTGTAGCCCACTCATGCATAAACGAAATATCTCCTTTGGAAAGTTTACACTCTATCCCGAGGAGATAAAAACCATCGCTCCTAAGAATATCCTTCAATTCTTGTCCCTGACGGGTCTAGGTAGCGAACTTTGAAAAGGGCGAGCACAATAGATCTATGTAGGTCGCAGTGATACAGGTGCTACAAACATCTGACAATAGCCCAAATAGCCCAATAAAAAAATAACACACCGGTTTATTTCCGATGGTCGTCGGTTCGATTCCTCGCAAGGTACAAACATTTGTATTCATGAGTATGATTATTTGTATCAGTCTGGGTGTTGTCTATGTATGTTATGTATGTATATACAAAAAAAATATATGTATTTATATCAATTGTCTGGTACCCATAACACAAGCTCTGCCTACCATGGGACTAAGTGGCGCTGTGTGAATTGTCCAAGGTTAATATTTTTGTTTTTTGATCTGTCATCAGATCCACGAGCGGTTACATACCGGCGAGAAACCGTACGTGTGCAAGGAGTGTAGCACCGGATTCCACCGTAAGAGTAGCTACCTTCAACACATAGCGATACATTTGCCGGAAAAGAATGTACAGGTATTTAGGTACTGCTGGCTATATCATAAATATTTATATATTTTACTAACTGTCCCGGCAAACGTTGTTTTGCCATATAAATTGAAGTTAGATTTACACTTAGATTGTGGAATGAACTTCCTGCCGAGGTTTTCTCACGAGACTACAGCATGGGGTTTTTCAAGAAGGGTATATTAAGGTTTCTTAAGGGTCGGCAACGCGCACGTGTTTTCAGGCGTCCATAGGCTACGATAACCATTTACCATCAGATGGGCCGTATGCTCGATTGCCACCATCTTAGTATATAAAAAAAAGTTCTAATAATAAGAAATAGGGGTTGGTGATAGAAGCGTGAAAATGTTGGGTCGTATGTATTTTTAGTGCCACATTGAAAAAAATTAAAAATAAAAATTTTGTCCAAAAATTTAAAAATAATGTTAGGGGTAGACAACCCTTATCACTTAGGGGTATCAAAAATAGGTAATAGCCGAATAATTTTGTCCAAAAAATTTAAAAATAATGTTAGGGGTAGACAACCCTTATCACTAGGGGGAAAGGGGATTGTTAGTAATGTGGATTGATTATCTTATTGCTAGCAATGTACCATGTCAGGTTGACCACCACGCGGTTCCCCCTGGAAACCATCGTGATAAATTCTTGATGAATTTGTCACGATGGGCTAACTGACCTGACCTCATGTTCATCTTATCCTCCACTGGTGCCCGGCCAGCGTAAACCGTTAGCGCAGGTGGGTGCACCATTCCTTTATCATAAAAAAAACCCCTTATCACTTAGGGGTATCAAAAATAGGTAGTAGCCGATTCCCAAACCTACTGAATATGCATATACAATTTCATAAAAATCGGTCAGGCCGTTTCAGAGGAGTATGGTAACTAACATTGTGACACGAGAATTTTATATATGATAAAATTGTCTGTGTGGTCACGGCACTGACGACGGTAGTCTGCCACTGTATTGCCGATACACTACACCCTTCGGACAGTAGTCCTCCTTCATGAAGGTGGTCAGCATGTTGGTGGGACCCGGGTCACTTGCAACTCGCGTTGTGACTCGACTCCGCTTGCGCCACCCGCAATGGCAGGTTTCCCCTGGTCCGTATGTAGTCAATGTCCAAGCAGGCCTTCGTGGCGTAGTGTAGATTATGGAAGGGTTTCCCCTGGTCCGTATGTAGTCAATGTCCAAGCAGGCCTTCGTGGCGTAGTGTAGATTATGGAAGGGTTTCCCCTGGTCCGTATGTAGTCAATGTCCAAGCAGGCCTTCGTGGCGTAGTGTAGATTATGGAAGGGTTTCCCCTGGTCCGTATGTAGTCAATGTCCAAGCAGGCCTTCGTGGCGTAGTGTAGATTATGGAAGGGTTTCCCCTGGTCCGTATGTAGTCGACAATGTCCAAGCAGGCCTTCGTGGCGTAGTGTAGATTATGGAAGGGTTTCCCCTGGTCCGTATGTAGTCAATGTCCAAGCAGGCCTTCGTGGCGTAGTGTAGATTATGGAAGGGTTTCCCCTGGTCCGTATGTAGTCGACAATGTCCAAGCAGGCCTTCGTGGCGTAGTGTAGATTATGGAAGGGTTTCCCCTGGTCCGTATGTAGTCAATGTCCAAGCAGGCCTTCGTGGCGTAGTGTAGATTATGGAAGGGTTTCCCCTGGTCCGTATGTAGTCGACAATGTCCAAGCAGGCCTTCGTGGCGTAGTGTAGATTATGGAAGGGTTTCCCCTGGTCCGTATGTAGTCAATGTCCAAGCAGGCCTTCGTGGCGTAGTGTAGATTATGGAAGGGTTTCCCCTGGTCCGTATGTAGTCGACAATGTCCAAGCAGGCCTTCGTGGCGTAGTGTAGATTATGGAAGGGTTTCCCCTGGTCCGTATGTAGTCGTCAATGTCCAAGCAGGCCTTCGTGGCGTAGTGTAGATTATGGAAGGGTTTCCCCTGGTCCGTATGTAGTCAATGTCCAAGCAGGCCTTCGTGGCGTAGTGTAGATTATGGAAGGGTTTCCCCTGGTCCGTATGTAGTCGACAATGTCCAAGCAGGCCTTCGTGGCGTAGTGTAGATTATGGAAGGGTTTCCCCTGGTCCGTATGTAGTCGACAATGTCCAAGCAGGCCTTCGTGGCGTAGTGTAGATTATGGAAGGGTTTCCCCTGGTCCGTATGTAGTCGACAATGTCCAAGCAGGCCTTCGTGGCGTAGTGTAGATTATGGAAGGGTTTCCCCTGGTCCGTATGTAGTCAATGTCCAAGCAGGCCTTCGTGGCGTAGTGTAGATTATGGAAGGGTTTCCCCTGGTCCGTATGTAGTCAATGTCCAAGCAGGCCTTCGTGGCGTAGTGTAGATTATGGAAGGGTTTCCCCTGGTCCGTATGTAGTCGACAATGTCCAAGCAGGCCTTCGTGGCGTAGTGTAGATTATGGAAGGGTTTCCCCTGGTCCGTATGTAGTCGACAATGTCCAAGCAGGCCTTCGTGGCGTAGTGTAGATTATGGAAGGGTTTCCCCTGGTCCGTATGTAGTCAATGTCCAAGCAGGCCTTCGTGGCGTAGTGTAGATTATGGAAGGGTTTCCCCTGGTCCGTATGTAGTCAATGTCCAAGCAGGCCTTCGTGGCGTAGTGTAGATTATGGAAGGGTTTCCCCTGGTCCGTATGTAGTCGACAATGTCCAAGCAGGCCTTCGTGGCGTAGTGTAGATTATGGAAGGGTTTCCCCTGGTCCGTATGTAGTCGACAATGTCCAAGCAGGCCTTCGTGGCGTAGTGTAGATTATGGAAGGGTTTCCCCTGGTCCGTATGTAGTCGACAATGTCCAAGCAGGCCTTCGTGGCGTAGTGTAGATTATGGAAGGGTTTCCCCTGGTCCGTATGTAGTCGACAATGTCCAAGCAGGCCTTCGTGGCGTAGTGTAGATTATGGAAGGGTTTCCCCTGGTCCGTATGTAGTCAATGTCCAAGCAGGCCTTCGTGGCGTAGTGTAGATTATGGAAGGGTTTCCCCTGGTCCGTATGTAGTCGACAATGTCCAAGCAGGCCTTCGTGGCGTAGTGTAGATTATGGAAGGGTTTCCCCTGGTCCGTATGTAGTCGACAATGTCCAAGCAGGCCTTCGTGGCGTAGTGTAGATTATGGAAGGGTTTCCCCTGGTCCGTATGTAGTCGACAATGTCCAAGCAGGCCTTCGTGGCGTAGTGTAGATTATGGAAGGGTTTCCCCTGGTCCGTATGTAGTCGACAATGTCCAAGCAGGCCTTCGTGGCGTAGTGTAGATTATGGAAGGGTTTCCCCTGGTCCGTATGTAGTCAATGTCCAAGCAGGCCTTCGTGGCGTAGTGTAGATTATGGAAGGTAGATTTGACTTAACAAAAATGTCTGTTATAGACCTACATGAATGAAGATATTTTGATTTGATATTGTTGTATCTGTCTAATCTGAAATGTTTTTTTTTATTCTAAATTTGTAATTAAACAAAAAAAGATCCTTATTAAAAATATCTTTATTCGTATCTTTATACCATCCTAATATATATCTCCGTGTACCTTTTTAGTTTTACCTATACACAAATAAACTAAAACTGTAACAGATATTATCTATACATATAAATGAAATCGGAGTGTCTGTTTGTAATATTGAAATAACCATTTTTACTCATGCATATGAATATAAATACGGTACATACACCAAAATTACATTTTTTGTCTGTCTGTCTGTTTGTTCCGGCTAATCTCTGAAATGGCTGTACCGATTTTGACGGGACTTTTATTGGCAGGTACCTGATGTAATAAGGAGTAACTTAGGCTACCCTTATTTTAGAAAAATTAAGTTAAATTCCATGCAGAGTCGCGTGAACAGCTAGTTAGGTTATTACTATGTTTCTATTCCCCCAGTGTGATCAATGCCCGGCCCGGTTCAAATCCGTCACCCTCATGCGGATACATAAGAACCGACACCGCGCCCCGCAGTACACCTTCCGGTGTCGAATCTGCGACAACAATTTCGCGAGGCGCCGCAACGTCGCTCGCCATCTGCAGCGGGTACACGGACTGCCGGCCGACTCGCAGGACGTCGATAGAGTTAAGATTGCCTAAAATTCACCTTCCCAATTTTGATGGTGACAAAGAATTTTGGTTAATTTTTAGGAGTCTCAACTGTAGTCTGTTGCAATTTTCGAACTAGTTTGCTTGTATTTTAGTTTGTTTAATTGCAATGGCAAACAGCTGACGGCCCAGTTAATGGTAAGTGGTAACCGTCGCCAGTATACATGAACAGCACTACGGACATCACGTTGTGATGACAGGAGTGGTGGTGAGAGTAAACACACACAGTAGGGTGTAACTTGTATATTTAACTGTTACATCTTGAATACTCTAGCTTACACTAATTACATAAACTATATATATGAGGTACTGCGTGACCTACGTGTCGTTATACAAAACGTACACTGGCACAATCTTTTACTGAACGTGCTGATTTGCATCACTATACCTCGTGATACTACTAATGGATTACCATTCCAGAGTACTAAGCTGTCACGCCTCTTATCCTGTAATTTCACATCCTAATCTGCACCCTACAACCGAAACAGCTTACAAAGCAAGCTGCTTGGCGGCTGATATAGCTTAGGTCAAAATCTTCAATACCTCAGGTATTGAAGATTTTGCAGTCTATTTCGATTATACGCAGAAGATATTTATAGTGTATCTGTGGAAGAGTGGAATACATATCATTTGATAAAATAATAACCCAAGACAATTCACACAGCGCCATCTAGTCTAAAGCTAAGCAGAGCTTGTACTATGGGGGCTAAACTACTGATACTTAAATGCATTTTTCTGTAAATACATACATATTATACATAAGAACCGATGGAAACAATCATACTCATGAATACAAATGTTTGCACCGTGCGAGGAATCGAACCCGCCTCTATCAGAATTAAGGCAGCGAGCAGAAGAACACCGAGCCTGTCAAATTCATGAATACAAATGTTTGCACCGTGCGAGGAATCGAACCCGCGACTATCAGAAGTAAGGCAATGTGGTAAACCACCGAGGCTGTCAAATGTTTGATTCGATCCTAGTACAGAACTAAACTTAAATGCATTTTTCTGTAAATACATATATATTATACATAGAAAACAGCCAGACCGATACAATCATAATCATCAATACAAATATTTGTATCGTACGAGGAATCGAACCCGCCACCGGAAATAAGCGCGCCGCGAGCCTGTCAAATGTTTCATTCGATCCTAGTACAGAACTGCTAAAATTTATATATTTTTTTAACACCTCGTGATCAGGGAAGGTACTTGTGTAGGGGATTGTGTAGTGTAGTAATGTGGACTGATGATCTTATTGCTACCAATGTAATATATCAGGTTGACATCCACGCAGTTCTGGACACCATCGTGATAAATTCTTGGCGAATTTACCACGATGTGCTAACTGACCTGACCTCATACTCATCTTATCATCCTCCACTGGTGCCCCGCCAGCGTAAACCGTCAGCGCAGGCGGGTGCACCAATCCATGATCCATTAAAAATATATCTTGTGATCTCCTATTATTATAGAATAATTATATTTTGTATTTAAATAAATATATTTGTATATTTCTGTGTTTTTTGTTTTGTAAATTTTAGCTTATGCCTCACTTATCCTGTAATTTCACTTCCTAATCTGCACCCTACGACCAAACAGCTTACAAAGCAAGCTGTTTGGCAGCTCAAGTAGGTGAAACTGAGGTACACACGCGGACTAGTTTGTACAGTAATTTAACTGGCATAGAAAACTACCTACAAGCTCATGTTGTCCTGGTACTTTGTCTTTATTAGTTAGTCTCACCCAGTGACATTTAAATGCCATAGAAAACTACCTACAAGCTCATGTTGTCCTGGTACTTTGTCTTTATTAGTTAGTCTCACCCAGTGACATTTAAATGCCATAGAAAACTACCTACAAGCTCATGTTGTCCTGGTACTTTGTCTTTATTCGTTAGTCTCACCCAGTGACATTTAAATGCCATAGAAAACTACCTACAAGCTCATGTTATCCTGGTACTTTGTCTTTATTAGATAGTCTCACCCAGTGACATTTAAATGCCATAGAAAACTACCTACAAGCTCATGTTATCCTGGTACTTTGTCTTTATTAGTTAGTCTCACACAATGACATTTAAATGCCATAGAAAACTACCTACAAGCTCATGTTGTCCTGGTACTTTGACTTTATTAGTTAGTCTCACACAATGACAATTATATAGGGTTGCCATTCATAAACTATAAGACCTCTTCATTCATAGTAACACAAATATGGAGCACTAAGATATCATACGCCTCTTATCCTGTAATTTCACTTCCTAATCTGCACCCTACAACCGAAACAGCTTACAAAGCAAGCTGCTTGGCAGCTGAAATAGCTGAGACTGAGGTACACACGTGGAGGGGGCAAGGGGGATTGTTAGTAATGTGGATTAATGACCCCATTGCTACCAATGTACCATGTCAGGTCGACCTCCACGCGGTTCCCCCTGGAAACCATCGTGTTAAATTCATGGTGAATTTGTCAGGATGGGCTAACTGACCTGACCTCATGCTCATCTTATCATCCTCCACTGGTGCCCCGCCAGCGTAAACCCTTAGCGCAGGCGGGTGCACCATTCCATTATCATCCACCAAAAAAAAAAAAGGTACACACGTGGACGAGACAGCTTGTGTTATGAGTACTAGACAACTATGGCAAGAACTTATGTATATACATTTTTTTGCAAATACATATCTAACCGAATTGCAATGGAAATAACTGTAGAATAAAACGAAACGTTTCTTTCATATATTTTATTTTTAAGTTCATTAACAAATTATATACATTAAAGTAAATTGAATCTATACTAGAGGTGACATTTCTATACTTTTGTTTATTATTTATATTATTAACCGGATAATAAATGTATCTATACTTACACTAGTACTATATATATTATAGTATAAAACAGTCGCTGTCGCTGTCTGTCCGTCCCTATGTATGCTTAAATCTTTAAAACTATGTAACGGATTTTGAAGCGGTTTTTTTAATAGATAGAGTGATTCTAGAGGAAGGTTTATATGTATAATACATGCGAAGCCAGGGTGAGTAGCTAGTAATATTAGCTGAAGAGTTTGTTTGTTTGAACGCATTAATCTCAGGAACTACTGGTTTGAATTGAAAAATTATTTTTGTGTTGGATAGTCCATTTGTCGAGGAAGGCTTTAAGCTATATAACATTACGCTACGACCAATAGGAGCGGAGCTGCAATGAAATATATTGCAAAAGGTGGGGGAATGAAACGCAGACGAAGTTTCGTGGGTCAGATAGTGGCAAATAAAGGTATATAATCGTGACCAAATCGAAAGAGATAAATATCCTTATTTGCTACTAGCTGTACCCATATTCGTCCGCGTGGAATTTAACTTTATTTTCCTAACATAAAAGTAGCCTAAGTTACTCTTTATTACATCAGCTACCTGCCAATAAAAGTCCCGTCAAAGTCGGTCCAGTCATTTCCGAGATTAACCGGAACAGACCAGACAAAAATTGTAAAAAAATGTTATTTTGGTGTATGTACCGTATTTATATTCATATGCATGTAGTAAAAAACAGTTATTTCAATATTACAAACAGACTCTACAATTTTATTTATATGTATAGATAAAATTATTCGCGGATAATAATATAAATAACGTATATTAAACACGAAAGTTTAAAAATAATTGTTTGTTCATATTTTCTAAAACCTTCATCCCATGTTTTTTACAAGTTGGCAGAGACCAATTATATGGTCAGTTTCTTACAAGCACCGTTAGTTACTTTCACATAACTAAATCACTAAAACGGGCCTCAATTTGTAACTAAATCATTACATAGTATAAAACAGTCGCTGTCGCTGTCTGTCCGTCCCTATGTATGCTTAAATCTTTAAAACTACGCAACTGAATGAAGCGTTTTTTTTTGTTTTAAATAGAATGAGTGATTCAAGAGGAAGGTTTATATATATAATACATGTACACCCGTGTGAAGCCGGGGTGAGTAGCTAGGTAAATATATAAATAACCGGACATCAAAAAGGAATTATCAAATTCAGTAACAATAGTCTCAATTTTAACGAAATTAAATATATAAATCAATACATTATCAAAAAGGAATCATCAAATTCGGTAATAAGTCTTAATTTTAACAAAATGAAATATAAAAATCACCAGATATATCAAAAAGGAATCATCAAATTCGGTAACAATAGTCGTAATAATACTAAAACCAATTATTGGTCTCTGCCAACTTTTTACAAGTGCTTTAAGTTTATAATAAAGTTAAGTTACTCCAATTTATTTGAGAATTATGTAAATAAATATGAGATTGTGTTACTTGAAAATTACTTAAAACTTTACTTTTTTTTCGGACTACTCTAATGCTGTTGGCCGCAGCTGGCCTTTACAGCTTCACCGGACGATAGGGGGCGCGTGCAGATGGCACTCCAAACCAAAGGAAGGACTTATAGAGCGTCTGGAGGACAACTCCCGCCTGACGGATACGATACGACGGATTTACTCTGAGGGCACCGCTAGGGGTTCGAACCTCGGCTCAGGCTGTCGTAATATCCCTGTGTGAATTGGACGGGGTTTCGATCGGAGGGGACAAAGTTTACTCTATAAATAAAGGGGTATGTTTCTTCTATAATAATAATATCTGAGGCCATTCACACAGCGCCATCTAGTCCCAAGCTAGGCAGAACTTGTGTTATGTCTACTAGACAATTACAAGGTATAAATTCCTTAAGTATTTTTTTTTGTAAATACGTACATAATATACATTGAAAACATCCAGACTGATACAAACAATAGTAGTCATGAATACAAATGCTTGGTACCGTGCGAGGAATCGAACCAGCGACCGTTGTGCGGGTGTTGCAGTTTTAAGACTCTATACATTTTAAGTTGTACGTGGTTTATCTAAAAAGTATATCAGTCTAGTGTTTTGGACTTTCTCGAATCGTGAGAATAAATATTCACAACAAAACAATAAAATAGGGCACAATTAACCGTGTTACCCCCGGGGGTAATTCATCCCGTGTTCGCCGGGACCTTGGGGGTAATAAATGAGAAAATCTCAAAATTAATTCGATAATAACTATAATAAATAGGATTTAGTATTTATTTATGGAACACAATTAACCGTGTTACCCCCGGGGGTAATTCAGCCCGAGCTCGCCTTGACCTTGGGGGTAATAAATGAGAGAAACAAAAAATTAGTTCTTTGTCAACTTAAAATTAGAATTTCTTCACGGAATCGGTCAAATAAATTGGAATAATGACTTAAACAAAGTCCCCCTCTAAATGGCATACCAAGCTGAATGATACCACTCGCAATTTTATATGGTAGTATGTCGTACATGTTTACTCTGTGTTATCCGCCTAGGTCTATGTATGTATGTGTATTATTATTATTATTTTATTATATATGAAGGTATCCGCAGAAAACCAGCGTCGTGGCACCCCGTCACGACATATGCTGACTACCTATTTGGTACTGTAAAATTAATATAAACCGATGAAATGTTAATTAAAATTTAAAAATTATTTTCAGTGTTCTCTTCTTTCAATTTTCATTATTGTCTATTTTCCACTTTATTGCTTGGTGAATACGATTCAGTTTCACTTGTATTACACCTGGCTATCCGGCTTGGTATACAATTTATGGCGGACTCATAGAAATACAAAATTAATTGCAAATATAATCACTATTTATAAATATACACAACAAAATTAAATATAAAGCAAAATATAGGGAATTATTGAAGTTTAGACAAATTAACAAACGATCAAGATAAAGATAACAAAGAGCCTCGGTGGTCTAGCAGTTTAGCACACCGCTTTGCTTCCGATGGTCGCAGGTTTGATTCCTCGCACCATGCAAACATTTGTATTCATAAGCATTATCAGTAGTAGCAGTATCAGTCTCGGGGTTTTCTATGTATATTAAATATTTACAAAAAAAATTATATCAGTTGTCTAGTACCCATAACTAACAGCTATACTTAGTTTTAAACTAGATGGCGCACAAGCTATGTCTAAATACATTTATTTTTTGTAAATACATACGTAACATATATTTGTAAATACATGGCGCTTTTCCAAAGACAATTTTTTTGTTAATACATACTATAATACTCATAGAAAACAGACAGACCGATACAATCAAAACTCATGAATACAAATATTTGAACCGTGGTAAAATCGAACCCGCGACCATCGGAAGTAAATGGGTGTGCTAAACCGTATCACTGAGGCTGTATAAATAAATGTGTTATAACATAAAAAATATATTACCTAAATAAAAATTTGTTTTTTCTTTTCATTAACCGTCACAACATCATCACAGTACCGACAAATCGAGAATTGAACACACTATCAATATTCCCTATATATTGCTTCATATGGTCATATGGTTAGACGTAAAAGATACACCAAACAGAAAGTCCGATAGAAAAAAAAAATATAAAAATAAATATTCTATAATAATACAAGCCAAAGTTACTCCTCATAACATTAGATGTCAGCGTGTGAAAGTCCCGTTAAAATCAATCCAGTCGTTTCAGATCCAGTAATAACTAATAACATATTAATATAATAACAAGATAATACTTTTTAACTGACAGAGAGACACATTTTTATATACATACAGTACGTACATATGGATGACTTTATGCATTATATTGTAACGTGATTTACTAATTGTATTCACCCTTACCTGTTCTTTATCTTTGGCTCTGACCCGTTTAAATGTTTAACTTTATTGTTTTTAAATAACCAATTTAAATATAACTTTAATATTAAAGATAAATTCATGAGGTATCTGTTATTGGGTTTACTAACTATGTAATACTATATATTGTCTATAAATTGTATAAGCTGTTGATTACCTAAAATAAATGAATAAATAACAGCAAGAACAAAGAAATACATATGCATTTAGTAAAAAGCTATTAATTTGAAATTACAGACAGACGCTTCAATATTATTTATTTGTATAGCATTTTATTTTGTAGTCGCTTCTTTAATTGTCTATTAATATTATGCTAAGTAGTTTTTATTGAAACCTGTGCTTTATATCTAAATATATATAACTCAAAGGTGACAGACTGACATAGTGATCTATCAACGCACAGTCCAAACCACTGGACGGATCGGGCTGAAATTTGGCATGCAGGTAGATGTTATGACGTAGGCATCCGCTAAGAAAGGATTTTGATTAATTCTACCCCAAAGGGGATAAAATAGAGGATGATAGTTTGTATGATACTTTGTCAATTTTAAACCAATCGGCCTGAGATTTTGCATGCATAAAGCTACTATCACGTAGGAATCCCCTATGAAAGGATTTTGATAAATTCCACCTCTAAGGGGATAACTAAACGCGAACGAAGCCGCGGGCATAAGCTAGTGTAAAATATGTTCATAAATTACATATATATATTTCTTTCATAGGTTCATGAATACTGTCTACGCACCGCTCCGCGATCTGCGGGCGCGGTGCTGAGCATCGACAACTGCGGCCGGTGGAGGATGCCGGCACTTGTCCGACCGGCGCCGACACTTTCCGGTTTACTAAATCATCCCACCATTCTAAGTTTAATGTGCATCTGTCTGTATTTTATAACAGTTTTTATATTATATCTATTAACACAGTCCACTAGTCTTATTGGGTATCCAGGACTAAACATTGGTCCTTCGAGCCTATCCAGGACTAAACAATACTGACATTGACTTTCTGCTTTGTGTACTTTTTACATCTAACACTTCAGTTTAACAATATAATTAATATATCAATAGTTATTTCATACATTTATACAAATTCTAACATTAAATAAAGATATATACGATTTGATTACTCCTGTGCTCACGGCATTTCGAAGCGGGGGACCTCTAGGACCCGTGATATTTCGCACTCCTATTATTACATCACTGACTTCAATATATGTGAGATTTTAACATACAATATTCGTTGATTAGTGCTTCAGCATATAACTAAAGTAATATGAAAAATTCAAAAATTGTTTTCACAAAACAAACTTTAAAAACCACTCGTTGCTACTTATAAAATACTAGTCTTTGCCCGCGACTCTGTCTGTGTGGCCGGGAACTTATCAGGTTAGCTAGCTAGACAGGTAGCTAGCTTATAATATAACCCAATCCAAATGTTTTTTTTTATGTAATTGGACTGTCTGACTTGATTGTAAGTGATATTCACCGTCATCAATATACATGAACAGCACCACTGTCATCACATCATCACGTGACGGTACACTACTCATGTGTTGCCATAATTTTTATTAAACAATATATTTTTAAGACTAGAATATATACAAAATTATGTTTTATCTCGTTAACCAAAGTAGAGCTGTCCAAAGCAGTTGATATCGAGCCATTCCATATCACAATATAGATTTGAAGGCCACAGATGCAAGTACTCACATTCCAATACAGTTCGGGAATACCTGTCAATATTGCCCGATGACTGTCCAGTATTCCGGCCAAACATTTTGTCCAAAATAGCCCTTGCTGTCTAAGCTTATATCTTTTAAACGACGCAACTGTTTCTAATACATTCACCAATAGATAGAGCGATTCAAGAGAAAGGTTTATATGTATCATACATGCATATTATAATACAGAAAACTCCATAAGTTTTTTATTTTTTAACGGCTCGCTAGTAATTTTTTAAAAAGAAAATTAAATTGCGTATTTGTAGCTATTCAAGAATAGGCCGAGGGCCTCACAAGTATATACTTTGGGCAGTGCAGCCAATCTACTCTGGAAACTAATTCCGATCACATTTGATTGCGCCGTTTCGAACCTTCTTACATTCTTCACTTTCTTTGACCATTAGCAATGTTCGTATTCAATAAAAGAATTAACTGGCTTTGTTATCCATTTATTTAGTTTTGTCTTCCTTAATTTACGAAAGAAATCTTTATATAGTATAAAACAAAATCACTGTCGCTGTGTGTTCGCTTAAATCTTTTAAATTACGCAATGGATTTTAATACAGTTTTCAACAATAGATAGAGTGATTCAAGAGGAAGGTTTATATGTATAAAAAATGCGTGTTATAGTACAGAACAAGCCGAGGAATTCTAAGATTTATAATGCACCCATGCGAAGCAGGGTCCGGACCACAGTGAAGAATAAAATCGTGTTGGTATTTAAATGAAAATCACAATAATGTAGTGAAAACGATATTGAGTTCCAGAGTAGATCTACTTACTGATTGAAATTAAACATATTTTAAAAATTTCTTGTATATAAAACATTCAGTTTAGTCATAATAAAAAAAAACTCTAGAAAATATCTCAACGTGTAGGAGGTAGCTCTTGTTACCTCTCCAAATGTTAACGACATTACCCCTGGTGATGTAGTATACTTAACGACTGTACCCCCGGTGATTATACTACTAGTGACTGATTCCCCCAGCAACACAATTATGTTCTCAACTGTACCCCCGGCAATACAGTCCTGCTAGCAACTACCCCCTTCGATTATACTGCTAGTGAAAGTTCCCCCCCGGCGAAACAGCGTTGCTAGCAACTGTACGCTTACACTACTAGTATATATATCCCCGTTAATTTTACAGCTAGTGAATTTTCCCCCGTATATTTTACTGTTAGAGCCTGTTCCCCCGATGTTACTAGGTGCTGTACGCACCTAGGCGTGCATGGCGTGCAGTTTGTCGCAGCTGGGAGTGCGCAGCCTCTGGGCCTCCGCGTACTGTCGCGCGTCGCCGAAGGTGCGAGCCTTCCACGCCGCACTCTCTCGGAAGTTTCTCTCGCGCTGGCACGCGTGACGTAAACCCACTTTTGGATAATTGAAAAATAAACTTTAAAGTTACACGATTAACGATGATTTTTCTTTAGCAAATGCAGTTTACTATTAAGTAATAGAGAGGTGAAAACACAGTAAATATTATATGTATAAATTACGTGAACCGATTGCAAATTTGATTTTCATATTGTGTGCAATTTGATCCAACTTGAAAGATACGATAGCTTACATCTCAATTTATAGACGTAATATTATTTTATTGCAAATAGTCACAGCAACGCATGGCCGGGGCTGGTAGTAAAATTAGAAAATCAACTTTAAAATTAGAACAATAACGTTGATTTTTCTTTAGTTAATGCAGTTTATCATGAAAGAACAGAGATGGAATACATTATAATAAAATTGGAAAATCAACTTTAAAATTAGAACAATAATTTAGTTAATGCAGTTTATCATGAAAGAACAGAGATGGAATACAGTATAATAAAATTGGAAAATTCACTTCAAAATTAGAACATTATGGTTGATTTTTCTTTAGTAAATAAGTTTATTAACAAGGAACAGAGGTTAACACAGTATAATGAAATTTGATAATCAACTTTAAAATTAGACTAATAAAGTTGACTTTTCATTACTTAATACATATTATTTAGAGCATATAAATATTTACAACCTACAATTATTTACAAATTAATCCCATTTTAGTTAATTGATAATTAAATCCCAAGTTAATTAAGTTAGTTAGTTAATTGATAATTTAATTTAATTAATAATTAAATCCAAAGAACGTGTCCAGAAAAAAAAAATTTGCCTGTACTCTATTGGGTACAGCAACCGTTAATGGGTTAAAATAGGCTCGGCTCAGGCTGTCCTAATTTCGATCATGTTTGAATTGGACGGGGGATCGATCGGAGTGAGTGAGACAGCCGTGACTTTGATGAAGGATGCTGAAACTCACCTATATATTCCTCTTCAATTGCCATCTCCAGTCGACGCAACGAGCCTTGATAGTCAGTATGGAAGTTCTCCTTCACATAGTACGGTACCTTCAATGTTTAGATAGAAAAAAAATATTTTATTAGGTCACCAACGAGGTTTACACCAACACTCTTACATTATATATTCAAATTCAAATTCAAATTCAAAAATCATTTATTCATGTAGGACATTTTAGCCGCTTATGAACGTCAAATTTTTACATTATAAATTTATTTTTTCCTACCGTAAAGTTCGGTATATAGATCCAATTGAGAAGAACTGGCAAGAAACTCAATTGAATTACTTTTTTTTTTAAAGCCAGTTTATTTACAATGAATTTTTATATAGGTGTCTATGTCTAACATTAAATGAAAATCCCGAACATGAAAACTATTGCCATGCACGCTCGTCATTCAAGTAATCGTTTAGTGAGTAATAGGCTTTGCTCAGTAAATATGATTTAACAGATGTTTTGAATTTCTTTAAGGGTAATTCCAACATATCCTTTGGTATCTTATTGTAAATTTTTATACCTATTCCCATAAAAGACCTATTAACTTTTTCTAATCGATACTTGGTGACAGCAAGTTTGTCTTTAAATCTAGTATTAATATTATGAATATTGCTGTTTTTTGGAAATAAATATATTACATTACAATCTATTTATACTAAGCGCAAACTTAATTATAGGCAACTACGACATTTATGTGACAAATTTGTGCTTACAATTAACAATTAACAAAACATAAAAAACAACTTAAAATTCTACCTATAAAAAACCTGTACTAATTGATTGCATTGTCTTAAAAAATTACAACACTCAGGTTCGGCAGCACGCACGTGACACCACTGCTGTTTTATGCATACGTAGCGTTTACCATCAGATGGGCCGTATGCTTGTTTACCAATGTCGTATGCAATATACTTAAGTAATGCATCCTATTAAATAAATAAATTCATTCATTCATTCATTCATAATTTAAGAGCTACGCTCTTGTCGGTGGAGCTCTTGCCACTTTCCGCGATCTTCCATCATGCTCTTTAATTCTTGATACGACACGACTCCCATTTTGTCCTCAATTTGTTTGATGTAGCTATTCCTTGGTCTTCCCCTCCCCCTCTTTCCTTCTATTTTCCCCTCAATAATAATTTTTCGTGCCGTAAATAAATAAATAACCTTGGGCAATTAACACAGCGCCATCTAGTCCCTAGGTAAGCAGAGCTCGTGTTATGGGTACTAGACTACTGATATAAATACTGGGATATATATTTTTTGTAAATACATACATAATATACACAACAAACATCCATACCGATACAAAAATCGTACTTATGAATACAAATGTTTGTACCGAGGAATCGAACCCGCGACCAACGGAAGTAAACCGATCACAGAGGTTGTTGTTGCTATGTATTTACTATGTATTTATAAAAAAAACAGTATTTCTATTAGTTGTCTAGCACCCATAACATAAGTTCTGCTCATCTAGGGACTAGATGGTGCTGTGTTAATTGCCCAGGGTTATTTGAATTATCTAGTGTGAATTATCCAGAAATAGCATAGTATGATAATGTATAGTATAGAGTAATAATGACCTCTCTACAGTCAATAGCATTAGAATACTTCGAAAACAAAATCAATACCTTCAAGTTAACAGTCTCCCTGGGCACTGGGTACTTGGAGCTTGGAGTGAGGCTGAACACCGGCTCGCTGATGAAGAACCCTGACATCATGGAGAGCAGCACTAGGACTAGCACGGGCAGCAGTTGCACCAGCCCGGCGTGGGTCTCCCGGGGCTCGGGCTCCCGGGCACGGCGACGGGTGTACACTGTCGGGCCGCCGCCAGGGAACGCTGCAAGTAACAGTCGAATAGTTATCTATACATGTAAATAAAATTGGAGTGTCTGTTTGTAATATTGAAATAACCGTTTTTTACTACATGCATATGAACATAAATACGGTACTTACACTAAAACAACACTTTTTACAATTTTTTTCTGTCAGTCAGATTGTTCCGGCTAATCTCTGAAATACCAGCTGCTGAGTTTCACCACCGTACCACCCGCCAGAAACTAAAATACCATCCTGATTATCTGGATAAAAAGCGGTCCTCCACAGTGCAGTTTCTAGACCTTATTCCTTTTTAAAAGGCCGACAACGTACTTGCAATTCCTCTGGTGGTGCTCATGGTAATCACTTACCACAGGTGAGCCGCATACTCGTTTGACCACCATGTTATAAAAAAAAACTGATGAATATAAATACGGTACTTACACTAAAACAACATTTTTTACAATTTTTTTCTGTCAGCCTGATTGTTCCGGCTAATCTCTGAAATACCAGCTGCTGAGTTTCACCAGCATACCACCCGCCAGAAACTAAAATACCATCCTGATCATCTGTATGAATGGCGGTCCTCCACAGTGCGGTTTTCTAGATACTTTTTGCCACGTACAACCACATTGTGGAATCACCTTCCAGCAATGGTATTTCCGAACCGATACGATATTGAAACCTTCAAGAAAAGAGCTTATTCCTTTTTAAAAGGCCGACAACGTACTTGCAATTCCTCTGGTGTTGGGCGCTCATGGGCGACGGTAATCACTTACCGTCAGGTGAGCCGCACACTTATTTGTCCACCATGTTGTATGATAGGCTGGTATACCCTTCCAATAACAAAAAAACTCACCAGTGGCTCCGAAGAACATGTTGAAGAGTTCCTCAGCAGTCAGATCAGACTCGAAGCCCCTCGCGTAGTACTGGTGGTGGGAGTGCTGCGTTGGTACGGGCTCGTCCCCTCGCAGATCGTACTGCTTCCTCTTCTCTGGGTCTGTTAGGACGGCTGCGGCATTCCCGATCGCCTGCCACAAATATGTTACGCTTTAGATAATTAATAGACATAGAAATAATCTTTATTCAAATAAACTTAAGTGCTTACATAAGCACTTTTGAATAGTCAAGTTTATTTATTCTACCGCTTATTCGGAATGCAGAATCATTACAAGAAGGATAAGCAAGAAACTTGTGTTGCTCTCACTTTGCCTTAAAATAAAATAAAAAAATTAGGGATAGTAAGTAGGACTACCCCTAACATTTAGGGGGATGAAAAATAGATGTTGGCCAATTCTCAGACCTACTCAATACGCTCACAAAATTCATGAGAATCGGTCAAGCCGTTTCGGAGGAGTATGGGAATGAAAACTGTGACATGAGAATTTTATATATAAGATTCACTTTATTAACAAGAATAATTTTATAGCTAATACAACCTCGAGCCGAAACTACGAGAGAGGTAAATACCTTTATTTGCCAGAAAATCATTCCTGTTAAGACCCGTTAATAATATAAATAATTTCTATATTTGTATAATACAGTGGACCCGCGGTAATCCGGCCCCCCTTGTAATCCGACATTGTCTATTATTTGTTATTGAATATTACTTTGACAATATACTTCAGAGTGCATATACATACATACATATATAACATAGAATCTTATCACTGGATCTGTGATTTGTCGGATTACAAGATACTCTTTTGTAAAAAATTCCGGACTATAAGCAGAGGACCCTTAAGCAGCACTCTATAATCCGACAAATACGATGGTCCGACACTGCCCTGCAAAACGTTTGTCGGATAACCGGGGTCCACTGTATATGTATATAATATAAAGAATCATCATTGGATCTATAATTTGTCGGATTACAAGGTACTCTTTTGTAAAAAAATTCGGACTATAAGGGGTCTTAGGCAGTACTCTATAATCCGACAAATTCGATAGTCCGACACTGCCCTGCAAAATGATTGTCAGACTACCGGGGGTCCACTGTATATATATTTGGTGTGGATATGTCTACCTTGAAGGCCTCAGCGGCGCCAGGCGCGTGGTTCTTGTCAGGGTGGAGCTGCAGCGCGAGTTTCTTGTAGGATTTCTTTATGTCGGAGTCTGTTGCCTCTTTTGTTACTCCTGTAACAAACACATGGGAACATTATTATTGAAATGAAATAATTTATTTGCGAAATATTAGTACAGTATTATAATTAATATGATGTTACATGAAATTGCAGTGCAGTGATGGCTGGCTCATCCGTCATACTCGTGAACGGGTGCTGCTTGTAGGGACTGGTCTGCTCTAATCACTATGACTGATTTCCTCTTATTAATTGTTTAACCAGTAGGTTATATATTCAATATTTTTTTTCTATTTGAGTATTTAATAGAATTAGTGCTAATTGGTGGTTTGTATTCACACACTTAAACTTAAAAATGTAAAGTAATAATAAAATTATTTAAAAGAGCAACACGCAAGTTTCTTGCTCGTTCTTCTTGTGATGAGACAGCTTTCCGAACGAGCGGTAGATTAAAAAATGTAATGACTATTCAAAAGTGCTTCAATGTAAGTTTATTTGAATAAATGATTTTCTATTCTATTCTATTGATTGATCAGAAATATTTACCATACAGGCATGCAAATTACGTGAAGTGTTGGTGTTACTTAAATATTCTTGGACACTGTAAAATGAAATGTATTATAGAAATAATGTTTTTTTATATATAGCTGACTCGTGCAACTTCGTCTGTGTTTCATTTCCCCACCGTTTACAATATTTTTCATTGCAGCTCCGCTTCTATTGGTCGCAGCATAATGAAATATTGCCGGCCCACTGTGGCTCCGATTGGCAAAAGATAGGAACACATGGAAAACGCTGGAGGAGGCCTTTGTGTCTAAAGGACACGTTGACTCAGAGACTGATGTGCAGAATTAGAAGTAACATAAAATGTATATATAAGTAACTAATATTTCTTCTATATTTTAAACTTGTAATCAAATATTATGATAGATTGTATTATTTTGTGTCAATTAATAAAGGCTTTGAATTTGAATTTGAATGAAATATAGCTTCGATAAGTGGACTATCAAACACAAAAATATTTTTTCTCTGACCACTAGTTCCTGAGATTAACGCGTTCAAACAAACAAACTCTTCAGCTATATAATATTAGAAAAGATTTTGTCCAATTTACAAATTTATAAATTATACCCTATGTATTATTCTGATATATAAGTTATATTACTGTTTCATCAAAATCCGTTGAGTAGTTTTTACGTGACAGAGTAATAAACATCCATCCATACTCACAAATTTTCATGTTCATAATATTAGTAAGAGATTGGACTAATGTCCGCCTGCGCTAACGGTTTACGGCTACGGGCACCACTGGAGGGTGATACTATGAATATAAACTTCTTGTGATGATTTTGCTTTCAGAATGAGCAGTAGATTAAGAAATTCAGTGACGACTATTCAAAAGTGCTTCAATGTAAGTTTATATGAATAATCAATTTTCTATTCTGACACAAGGTCAGCTCAGTTAGCTCATACATAAGAAATTTATCACAATTATTTCCAGGGGGAACCACTTGGAGGCCAACCTGACATGAGATAGCTTGCAACATTTTTTATAATTTTTGTCTCTTTGTTTGTCTATTTGTTCTAATCTCTGAAATTGCCGTACCGATTTTGATGGGACCTTTTTTGGCAGGTAGCTGATGTAATAAGGAGTAACTTAGGCTACTTCTATTTTAGAAAATTAAGTTAAATTCCACGCGGACGAAGTCGCTAGAACAGCTATTAAAAAATAAATAATGTAGATAGATAATTACCAAGAATTTCATAGTAGTCCTTGCATTTTGTATTGATGCGTTTAACAGCATCCAACTGATCCTGCGTGTATTCCCTCTGTGGAGGCTGGTGGGATGGAATTTTGCGTTTCCGTACCGTTTCCTCATTACTAGAGTTGGGAGAGGTAGGTGGAGTACGTTTTGACGAATTTCCCGACGCCCCGGCGGTTCGAACTCGAGTCAATAGCTCCTTAGCGCGTAAAGATGGGTACAGCCGTTCAGCTTTTAGTAGGAAACGTTCAGCTTTCTCCACGTCTCCAGCAGAAAACGCAGACTGAGCAATCTCAATACACTTGTCTGCCTCGTCCTTGTTACCTTCGATCGTCATTTTTGTAATCTTTCACTGTTTTTTGTCGCTAAATACTAGTGCGAAATAAAATATTTGCTATCGTGACAGACAGTTTTGAGTTTTCTGCGCAAATTTAATTAATATAAATAGATCTATGTGACCATTTGCGACATAGGAATAGAAATTAATTTGTAATGAATATTGTATTACATTCAATTAAAGTGTATTGCGACATTAGCACAGAGTAGTTAAATGATGTTACGTTGACATTTGTGACAAATGACGTCTATTTTATATTTTGTGGTACCTAGGTTACACAGAAACAAACAAAATATTTTTTTTAAAAAACACAATCCCCAATTGCATATTTCGGGATGTGTTTTTTTTAAATCCTATAGTCTTAGTTTTTAAGTTAAATTATGTTTATATATTTGTTTTCGTGTATTGTTTATAGTTATTTTTTTCTTAACATATAATAAGGGCTTAAACCTAGTTCTCCTGGGTTTGATGCCCTTCTATTTTCACTCCTTTAGGAAGTGCGAATAAGAGTTTTTCCCGTAAAGGAAAGGAAAGGCAAAGGGTTTCAAATAATATCTGCCATTCTCTTCGGTTTACAGCTACTCTGCTATATTGGTTTACTGTCAGTGTCATTATCATTCGTATATCAGTAATGTCATTGGTTTGTCATATGACGTACCGGATGACGCATAACGATTCGTAATTTATATTTTCTTATTTAATTTCCTGATTTTCAAACATTCGTTTCTCGTTTGTAAATCGTTGAACCGCATTTACAATAGTTTTAAATCTAAGTATAACTATTTAAAATCGTTGTACAGACATTATTTTGTATATTTGAAGTTTTATTTGGTGGAAACTTCTAGAAAACTACAATGACTGCACCGCCGATCTACAATCCTGTGAGTTCTATAATAATCGTTATATTTACATAGGAACACTAACGTCGTCAGCGACTATGTTTAACTGATTATTCATGAAGTGTACTTAACAGACTTTGACTTTTAAAGTCAGGAGAATAGGACATAATTTGTAAATCATTGTTGATATGAATATTACTCAATATTTGTTTTTAATCATGAAGTCAGGTCAAGCTGACCTGACTTCATGATTAAAAACATGGTGAATTTACCGGGAATTAATTAAATGATGAATTCCTGGTGAATCTGTCACGATGGGCTAACTGGCCTGACTTAGTACTCATCGTATCATCCTCCACTAGTACCAGTGTATACTGTCAGTGCAGGCGGGTACACCATTCCATTATCATCCATTAAAAATAAATACTTCACTCTCCCTAGTTATATGCTTTAGCAGTAACATATGCTGGTGATCATGCTATTCTCCCAAATTTGAATTTAAATGAATCTGTATTATAGTAAACATGTACAACATTTATTTCAAAAGAATACAAGCTGAGTTTCTTGTCAGTTCTCATCTCGAAATCGCTGCAAACTGACGGTAGATTTGACATATCATAAATCTGTACATGAATAAAGATATTTTGTAATCTTAAATATATCTGTATTAGCAAAGTCAAGGTTATTTTGAACAATAATATGTTGCTTATCTAATTCTAAGAGTCTGTATTAGAGAAATTAGTACATTTGTAAAGGTAAAGACACTTCAAGGCTGCCGATTCCTTAATAGGCAGTTGTAAATGTATCCTATAAACATAATACATACAGTTTTACTTTGTTATCATGTAGGTGATATTGATATAATAATAGTAATAATAGTAACATTGTACAATTCACACAGATCCATCTAATTTCAAGCTAATTGTTTATTTATATATCTATACATATAAATAAAATTGGAGTGTCTTATATATATCTATGCATAATGAAAACTTTTTTCTTTGGGTTACAATGAAAGTCAAAGGAAAAAGTTTCATCACTCTAACTTTAAAAATGACACCCTTATGAAGCTGAGGGGAAACCAGTATATGTATAATTAAAAAAAATAATTGAAAAGTTAACAAACAGTAATAAAAACTGTTATTATTATATATATCTATAATTATAAATACCATGAATGATATTAAAATTAATAGAAAAAATATAAATTGTCTTTGTGATCACGGTACTGATGGCGGCAATCTGCCACGTAGCGCCGGTATACCACACCCCTCGGCCAGTAATCCTTCATGAAGGTGGGCAGCATGTTGGTGGGGACCCGGGACACAAACGCCTTGAAACTCGCGTTGACTCTACTCCAGCTGCGTCACCCTCATGCGTTTATGATAACCAGATATAAAATAATTAACACAGCGCCATCTACATTGATCTATATACTGAATTGGATGGTAGGGAAAAAATTAGAAATATAATGTAACAATATTACATTCATAAGTGGCTAAAATGTCCTACATGAATAAATTATTTTTCAATTCGAATATAGTCTTTTGTATCTTGGAGTTAAATTTGACATTACCAATGTTGCCAGCATTTTGCGATTCGTAAATAGTGTTGTAACACTATCGGAAATCAATATTATTTTGGGGTCTGTTAATTTGAATTTAGTCCCATAGTAAGCAGAGCTTGTGTTATGGGTACTAGACAACTGATAGAAATACAGAGATTTTATTAATATATTTTTTGTACATACATACATAATATACATAGAAAACACCCTGACCGATACAAACAATCACGAACTCAGATGTAAAGCGATATGACGCTCTCGTTCCAGTAGTATGAAAAACAATACAGTTTGTTTTGTAAATTGAATTTACAGAAAATTCGTATTGGATGAGGAAATATAGTCGAAGTTCTAAATGATTTGTTGATCACTATGACGTCATGTATGACTCGGTATGTCGCGACATCATTGATGACATGATGTAGTATGTGACCAACTTGTGTGTCATGTGACATTGTTTTTTTATTACAATGGTAATACCATCACTCCGCTCGCCATTGACAGGGAATTCATCACTCGCTGGAACCTAAGTGGTCTCTGTTGCGGGTAAATGATGAGACGATGTATATTACAGATGATAATAAACAGACAATATGTACATAGAAATAATGATCTTATATACTAAATAACAATAGGAAAATGTAAGGTGGGGTGACACAGTTTAGACACAGCAGTGCTTAGTACACAATATTGAATTTGTCTTACTAGACATTATTAAATGCAATTATTATTTTGATGTATCTAGGTGACTGTGTCCCATAGTCTCGGACAGTGCGGTTTCAGAGAAGCTTCCTCCCGCGTACACTTAGATTGTGGAATGAACTACCTGCCGAGGTTTTCTCACGAGACTACAGCATGGGGTTTTTCAAGAAGGGTACATTAAGGTTTCTTAAGTCGGCAACGCGCACATGCTACCCCTGGTGTTTTAGGCGTCCATAGGCTACAGTAACCGTAGTATTTAATATAATATAATATAAATATGAAAAAAGATGGCGCTGTGTTAATTGTCCAGGGCTATATATTTATTGTATAGATTTATTTAATATACATAGACAATCATACTCATGAATACATGATTTTTTTTAAATTATACATATGTGGGAAATCCCCGCGTTATGTGGGGGAAAAACGTTATCCGAGGAACATAAAATCGCATTGTATTCAAATTCATATTCAAAATATCTTTATTCATGTAGGTCTATTACAGACTCTTATGATATGTCAAATCTACCGTCAGTCCGGAATGATTTCGAGATGAGAACTGACAAGAAACTCAGCTATTGTAACGCGTTAGAAATATAAATAATCTATATTCAAATAAACTTTAAGCAGTTTTGAATAGTCAATTTTTTTTTATTCTACCGCCCATTCGGCATGCCGATTCATCATAATGAGCAAGAAACTTGTGCTTTATGAGAGTGTCATGTTATTATGGTATTACTTACTGTATTTTTAACCCGGTCCAGCTGACGATTGTTTTAACCAAGTTTTCCGGCTGTTGGGTTTTTTTTGCTGTTTCATACACGCGTGTTTTTTTTCCTTGTGAAGTATTATTGTAGAACTATTACTAAATATATGATAATATCATTATACAAAAGAGAATTTAAACCATTATAATTGTACTAGCTTTTGCCCGCGGCTTCGCTAGCGTTAATTTATCCCCTTAGAGGTGAAATTTATCAAAATCATTTCTTAGGGGATGTCTACGTCATAGTAGATTTATGCATGCAAAGTCTCAGCCCGATCGGTTTAAAATTGACAAAGTTTCATACAAACTTTTATCCCCTATTTTATCCCTTTGGGGGTAGAATGAATCAAAATCCTTTCTTAGCGGATGCCTACGTCATAACATCTACCTGCATGCCAAATTTCAGCCCGATCCGTCCAGTGGTTTGGGCTGTGCGTTGATAGATCACTATGTCAGTCACCTTTGAGTTATATATATTTAGATGCAAGATGTATTAGACAGCGGTGGAGGCAGATCGTGAATTTGTGGGGCCCTGAGCTAAATGTACTTAGGGGCCCTGGGCTAAATCTACTTAGGGGCCCTGGGCTAAATCTACTTAGGGGCCCTGGGCTAAATCTACTTAGGGGCCCTGGGCTAAATCTACTTAGGGGCCCAGGGCTAAATCTACTTAGGGGCCCTGGGCTAAATTTACTTAGGGGCCCTGGGCTAAATCTACTTAGGGGCCCAGGGCTAAATCTACTTAGGGGCCCTGGGCTAAATCTACTTAGGGGCCCTGGGCTAAATCTACTTAGGGGCCCAGGGCTAAATCTACTTAGGGGCCCTGGGCTAAATTTACTTAGGGGCCCAGGGCTAAATCTACTTAGGGGCCCAGGGCTAAATCTACTTAGGGGCCCTGGGCTAAATCTACTTAGGGGCCCTGGGCTAAATCTACTTAGGGGCCCAGGGCTAAATCTACTTAGGGGCCCTGGGCTAAATTTACTTAGGGGCCCAGGGCTAAATCTACTTAGGGGCCCTGGGCTAAATCTACTTAGGGGCCCTGGGCTAAATCTACTTAGGGGCCCTGGGCTAAATCTACTTAGGGGCCCTGGGCTAAATTTACTTAGGGGCCCAGGGCTAAATCTACTTAGGGGCCCTGGGCTAAATCTACTTAGGGGCCCTGGGCTAAATCTAGTTAGGTGGCCCTGGGCTAAATCTACTTAGGGGCCCTGGGCTAAATCTACTTAGGGGCCCTGGGCTAAATCTACTTAGGGGCCCAGGGCTAAATCTACTTAGGGGCCCTGGGCTAAATCTACTTAGGGGCCCTGGGCTAAATCTACTTAGGGGCCCTGGGCTAAATCTACTTAGGGGCCCAGGGCTAAATCTACTTAGGGGCCCTGGGCTAAATTTACTTAGGGGCCCTGGGCTAAATCTACTTAGGGGCCCTGGGCTAAATCTACTTAGGGGCCCAGGGCTAAATCTACTTAGGGGCCCTGGGCTAAATTTACTTAGGGGCCCAGGGCTAAATCTACTTAGGGGCCCTGGGCTAAATCTACTTAGGGGCCCTGGGCTAAATCTACTTAGGGGCCCAGGGCTAAATCTACTTAGGGGCCCTGGGCTAAATTTACTTAGGGGCCCAGGGCTAAATCTACTTAGGGGCCCTGGGCTAAATCTACTTAGGGGCCCAGGGCTAAATCTACTTAGGGGCCCTGGGCTAAATTTACTTAGGGGCCCTGGGCTAAATCTACTTAGGGGCCCAGGGCTAAATCTACTTAGGGGCCCTGGGCTAAATTTACTTAGGGGCCCAGGGCTAAATCTACTTAGGGGCCCTGGGCTAAATCTACTTAGGGGCCCTGGGCTAAATCTACTTAGGGGCCCAGGGCTAAATCTACTTAGGGGCCCTGGGCTAAATTTACTTAGGGGCCCAGGGCTAAATCTACTTAGGGGCCCTGGGCTAAATCTACTTAGGGGCCCTGGGCTAAATCTACTTAGGGGCCCTGGGCTAAATCTACTTAGGGGCCCTGGGCTAAATCTACTTAGGGGCCCTGGGCTAAATCTACTTAGGGGCCCTGGGCTAAATCTACTTAGGGGCCCTGGGCTAAATCTACTTAGGGGCCCAGGGCTAAATCTACTTAGGGGCCCTGGGCTAAATTTACTTAGGGGCCCTGGGCTAAATCTACTTAGGGGCCCTGGGCTAAATCTACTTAGGGGCCCAGGGCTAAATCTACTTAGGGGCCCTGGGCTAAATTTACTTAGGGGCCCAGGGCTAAATCTACTTAGGGGCCCTGGGCTAAATCTACTTAGGGGGGGCCCTGGGCTAAATCTACTTAGGGGCCCTGGGCTAAATTTACTTAGGGGCCCAGGGCTAAATCTACTTAGGGGCCCTGGGCTAAATCTACTTAGGGGCCCTGGGCTAAATCTACTTAGGGGCCCTAGGCTAAATCTACTTAGGGGCCCTGGGCTAAATCTACTTAGGGGCCCTGGGCTAAATCTACTTAGGGGCCCAGGGCTAAATCTACTTAGGGGCCCTGGGCTAAATCTACTTAGGGGCCCTGGGCTAAATCTACTTAGGGGCCCTGGGCTAAATCTACTTAGGGGCCCTGGGCTAAATTTACTTAGGGGCCCAGGGCTAAATCTACTTAGGGGCCCTGGGCTAAATCTACTTAGGGGCCCTGGGCTAAATCTACTTAGGGGCCCTGGGCTAAATCTACTTAGGGGCCCTGGGCTAAATCTACTTAGGGGCCCTGGGCTAAATCTACTTAGGGGCCCAGGGCTAAATCTACTTAGGGGCCCTGGGCTAAATCTACTTAGGGGCCCTGGGCTAAATCTACTTAGGGGCCCTGGGCTAAATCTACTTAGGGGCCCAGGGCTAAATCTACTTAGGGGCCCTGGGCTAAATTTACTTAGGGGCCCTGGGCTAAATCTACTTAGGGGCCCAGGGCTAAATCTACTTAGGGGCCCTGGGCTAAATTTACTTAGGGGCCCAGGGCTAAATCTACTTAGGGGCCCTGGGCTAAATCTACTTAGGGGCCCTGGGCTAAATCTACTTAGGGCCCAGGGCTATCTACTTAGGGGCCCTGGGCTAAATTTACTTAGGGGCCCAGGGCTAAATCTACTTAGGGGCCCTGGGCTAAATCTACTTAGGGGCCCTGGGCTAAATCTACTTAGGGGCCCTGGGCTAAATCTACTTAGGGGCCCTGGGCTAAATCTACTTAGGGGCCCAGGGCTAAATCTACTTAGGGGCCCTGGGCTAAATCTACTTAGGGGCCCTGGGCTAAATTTACTTAGGGGCCCTGGGCTAAATCTACTTAGGGGCCCAGGGCTAAATCTACTTAGGGGCCCTGGGCTAAATTTACTTAGGGGCCCAGGGCTAAATCTACTTAGGGGCCCTGGGCTAAATCTACTTAGGGGCCCTGGGCTAAATCTACTTAGGGGCCCAGGGCTAAATCTACTTAGGGGCCCTGGGCTAAATCTACTTAGGGGCCCAGGGCTAAATCTACTTAGGGGCCCTGGGCTAAATTTACTTAGGGGCCCTGGGCTAAATCTACTTAGGGGCATACCTAATTATATTACTCAACTAAAAAAATAAACCGACCAAAAACAAGCGACCAGAAATTCCCCGTTCCTTTCGATAGACGCGCACTTGCATGAGTTGATTGATCTCAGAGTTGCCAACATTATAATAGATTTTTTAACACTCTAGATATTTTTGTAGATTCTAAATATCGTTTCAGTGGGGACTGGGGGCCCTTTGTATCCTCGGGGCCCTGGGTTGCAGCCCAAAAAGCCCTTAGATAGATCCGCCCCTGGTATTAGAGGCGAAGGAAACTGGTGAAAAAAAACGTCTTTGTATCTTACTAGCTACTCGCCCCGGCTTCGCCCGAGTGTACATGTATTATACATATAAACCTTCCTCTTGAATCACTCTATCTATTAAAATAAAACCGCTTCAAAAGTCGTTGCGTAGTTTTAAAGATTTAAGCATACATAGGGACAGATAGATAGATGCATTGCATTTGCTTTTATTTTTTATTTTTATTATATTTTATCTATACATATAAATAAAACTGGAGTGTCTGTTTGTAATATTGAAGTAACCGTTTTTACTACATGCATATGAATATAAATACGGTACATACACCAAAATATACTTTTTTACAATTTTTGTCTGTCTGTCTGTTTGTTCCGGCTAATCTCGGAAATGGCTGTACCCATTTTGATGGGACTTTTTTGACAGGTAGGTGATGTAATAAGGAATAACTTGGGCTACTTTTATTTTAGTAAAGTTAAATTCCACGCGGACGAAGTCGCGGGAACAGCTAGTTGAGTATATTTGAATGAAGTTTTTTTTTTGTGGTTATTAATGGTATGGCTCACTCGCCTGCGCTAACGGTTTACGCTGGCGGGGCACCAGTGGAGGATGATAAGATGAGCATGAGGTCAGGTCAGTTAGCACATCGTGACACATTCACCAAAAATTTACCACGATGGTTTACAGGGGGAACCGCGTGGAGGTCAACCTGACATGGTACATTGCTAGCAATGGGAGTTACTAGTTCCCATTACCAACAATCCCCTTTCCCCCTCTAATGAGGATTATTTCTGTTTTCGATTTCAGATCATACCCTGCGTACACCCGATCCCTGGGGGCATTTTTCCCGGTCGCATGCTCCGGTTCCAGGGCAACACACCCCCTGGTGCTCAAAGGTAAATATAACTGTTGGAAACTGTCATATATACCTTTTATATACTGCCTACTAACAAGCAATTTTAACAAATATATTTTATTAGAATAGAATAGAAAATCATTTACTCAAATAAACTTACATTGAAGCACTTTTGAATAGTCATTACATTTTTTAATCTACCACTCGTTCGGAAAGCTGTCTCATCACAAGAAGAACGAGCAAGAAACTTGCGTGTTGCTCTTTTAAATAATTTTATTATTACTTTACATTTTTAAGTTTAAGTGTGTGAATACAAACCACCAATTAGCACTAATTCAATTAAATACTCAAATAGAAAAAATATTGTATATATAACCAACTGGTTAAACAATTAATAAGAGGAAATCAGTCATAGTGATTAGAGCAGACCAGTCCCTGCAAGCAGTCCTACCTATTGTCATTACAACAAAATACAGTAAGGTTTATTGATTGAGAGCGTATGGACCCTGATAAGTCAGTCATGGTCCATGACTGATTTTCCAGATGTATGATTCTTAGTGTCTATATACGACAAGTATCTGCAGATTCTGCCAAAACTGAAGAGGAAACGCCGCTTCACATCCTATGTGGTTGTAGCCCACTCATGCATAAAAGAAATATCTCCTTTGGAAAGTTTACACTCTTTCCCGAGGAGATAAAAACGATCGCTCCTAAGTATATCCTTCAATTCTTGTCCCTGACGGGTCTAGGTAGCGAACTATGAAAAGGGCGAGCACAATAGATCTACGTAGGTCGCAGTGCTACAGGTGCTACACACCTGACAATAGCCCAAACAATCCCATAAAAAAAAAAATAGTGTCTATATTTTTATAAATATTGTATTGTTTTTATATAACATAAGTCAATTATGTACAAAAATATTCTTCAACTACAACGGTTCTGTTTTACTTTTTGCTCGTCATCTTGGTCTCCATCCTTCACAATAACTTTTTCGGTATGTTTATTTTATAAGAATGTTATGGATATGAAATTTCGGATACAGATAGGTTTCGGATATAGGAATTATTATTATACCGGATACGGATACGGATACCGATATGAAATTATTTCGGTTTATCCGTTCGTTTCGGATAATTTCGGTTACGGATATTAATTTTTTAAGGAATTTCAAAAGTAAAATACAAATAGCTAATAAAATGGTTACATATGGTGTCTCAATTAGGCTCCGCCCCTATCCGATATTATCCGAAACTTTTATTTCGGATTCGGTTACGGAGGTCCTTAACATCCCTGATATTTTATATGTAATATTATAAAAATCCTTTTTTTATTAATATATATATGTATATGTATGTACTAAAAAGTGTATGTACAGTTATCAACAATCTTTCTCATGAATACATATGTTTGCACCGTGCGAGGAATCGAACCCGCGACATACGGAAGTAAAGCGGTGAACCACTAGACCACCGGGTCTATTTTATTATTAAGTTAGCTTTTATTTACGATTTAAAAGGTTCGTCTGAAAATTTTCAGGTTCGCCATAAATCTGCAGTGTGGCCCCAACACTGACCCTCGCGATGACATCGCCATCCACCTCAACTTCCGGTTTGTGGAGATGTGCGTGGTGAGGAACCACCTCACGGCCATGGACTGGGGGGTGGAGGAGTTGGGCGGCGGGCTGCCGGTCGCCAGGGGTGACCAGTTCGAGGTTCTGTTGCTGTGCGAGCCGCAGTCGTTCAAGGTGAGACTTGTGTAATACTAGTTACTAGATGACACGGCAAACGTATTGCCATATAAATTAAAATCGCTATTAAAAATAGGGGTTGGTGGTAGAAGGGTGAAAATTTGAGGTTGATGGATTTTTAATGCCACATTGTAAAAAAAAATTACCACAAAAAAATGTCTAAAAAATAAATGTTAGGGGTGGACAACCCTTATCACTTAGAGGTAGGAAAAATAGGTAGTAGCCGATTATAATAAAAACTACTATATAAAATTTCATAAAAATCAAGAAATTTGTATATAAAATTGAACTGGATCAAAAAAATATTTTTATTGTATAAAATAATAATAGAAAAGTATTATTTGATTAATTAATATAAATAACATTTTTTTTTGGGAAAATTAAATATATCCACAGATAACGAAAGCTATAGAATCTGAAAAAGCAGATCGCAGATAGATAAGGAAAAAAGAAAAAAAATATGATCCGAATTTATTTTTATATAAAATAATAAATTTAATTTTACATTAATTATTGTAAATCATCAATTACTGTAGGTATATAATAAAAATTCTAATCAATTTTAAAATTTCCTATAAACTTATATGGATTAATATAATTTAAAAAAAAAGGCATTATTTTTTTTCATTAATCACATGCCTATCTTCTGTCATATTAATAGAATAGCCCAATAACAGTACAGACGGCAATCTGTACATTTTCATTATATGTATTTTCTTCTTTATATATATATACATATATAATTATTTGTAAGCATGTATACAAATAACCTTAATTTCTTTTTAATAAGTGAACATCGTCACGATTGAAATCGCGACGCGCCACTAAGCAAAAATACTCTCAAAAACTACTGAACCGATTTAACTCGACGACATTCCCGTGCAGTACATACTACGCCGCGCAAAACGAAACCATAGCGCCGTCTACTTTTAACACAGCGCCATCTAGTGACAGATGTTAGAAACTAAATCGTAACTAACTGTAGAACGAGAAGGTTGTTGATTCTCGTTCTATTATTATCATCTTATTTGTGACTGTGCTTATAGTGTAACAATAAAAAAAAAAGTTGGCGGGAAAATTATTAAAAAAAAAGAGATAAAGTGAAAATCTGTACTAATATTAGAAAGTAATGTTTGTGAATTATATATTTGAGGTTATTTTCGTTAATACTGATCCGATTTTGAAAATTCTTTTACTGTTGTATAGTACATTAATTGTGGAACACTATTGACTGTATATCATCACGCTACGACTAATACGAGGTGAGCTGTAATAATATATTTAGCCAAAACGGAGAAAATGTATTGTCGACGTTTGTTGATCAATATACAATAGTATGAGAAATTCAAGATTTATTTCCGCCATTTTAGATTCTGCTTTTTTTTAGTGAAAATGGTTTAGTTTTAATAATAACAATAATATTTTTAGTATTATAAACGCGAAAGTTTGTAAGTATGGATGTTTGTTACTCTTTCACGCAAAAACTATTGAACTGATTTTGTTGAAACTTTACAGTAATATATATATATATATAACTTATGCATCAGAATAACATATAAGACTATATTTTTTATAGAAATTTAACATATTTATTACTACCTGTGAAATATATATATTTGAAAAGAATCCGAGCTGAGTTTCTTGTCAGTTCTTCTCATCTCGAAATCATTCCGAACTGACGGTATATTTGACATATCATAAGAGTCTGTAATAGACCTACATGAATAAAGATATTTTGAATTTTAATGCTATCAATTTCCCATTTGGTATATAATATTTTTAGTTTAATTATTTTAATTACTAATAATAATATAAATTACTACTATAAAATAAAAGAATATTTCGAAAGTAGCCTAAGTTACTCCTTATTACATCACCTACCTGTCAATAAATAAAGTCCCGTCAAAATCGGTCCAGCCATTTCTGAGATTAACCGGAACAAACAGACAGACAGACAAAAATTGTAAAAAAAAATATTTTGATGTATGTACCGTATTTATATTCATATGCATGTAGCAAAAACCGGTTATTTCAATATTACAAACAGACACTCCAATTTTATTTATATGTATAGATACTTAATATAATAAATTTAGTTTTACATTAATTAACATTATTTAATTTATTAATGTAAAAAATAAATTATTTTATAATAAAATAACGCCTGGGCTGCTAATATATTATGATTGAATGAATGAATGAAAGTTTCTGTTACCATTCTGTTTATAAAATGTTGCTGTTACCATTTCAGATCGCTATAAACGGCGTCCACTTCACGGAGTTCATGCACCGCGTGCCGTTCTCCAGGATCTCCCACCTGACGGTGGATGGTGACGTGTCCGTACAGTTCATAGGCTTCGAGGGTGCGCAGCCAGCACCACAGCAGATGTACATGGTACGTAATATGTTTTAGTGGATGTACCCATATTTTTTTGGGGCTTTGGGCTCGTCAGATGCTAAGACCTGTAACACTGCGACCTATATAGATCTATAAAACAGCGCTGCAGTGATAGACTACGGCACCTGAGTGTAGTTTCAGCTCATAGCGCAATATTAGTTAAATTAATAATAATCTCAGGACACTTCACACAGCGCCATCTAGACCTAAGTTAAGCTAGCTAAAGCTTGTGTTATGGGTACTAGACAACTGATACAAATACATAGATATATTTTTCGTAAATACATATTATACATAGAAAACACGCAGTCCGATACAAACAGTCATAGTCATGAATATAAATGTTTGTACCGTGCCAGTAATCGAACCCGCGACCATAAGAAGTAAGGCGGTATGTTAAACCGCTAGACCACCGGGGCCGTCATTAATGTTATAATACAGAATGTTTGAATATATAAATTGAGAAGCAACGGTGAGAATATTTGCCTCTTTGAATTTTTCTCTTAATGAGTCACGACTCTTCATACAGTAGATCGCTCGAACGGCACGTTTTTGTAATATGAATATATTTTTAATATCTGCCGCTTTTCTCTATAATAATATAAATATATATAACTCAAAGGTGACTGACATAGTGATCTATCAACGCACAGCCCAAACCACTGGACGGATCGGGCTGAAATTTGGCATGCAGGTAGATGTTATGACGTAGACATCCGCTAAGAAAGGATTTTGATAAATTCCACCCCTAAGGGGATAAATTAACACGAGCGAAACCGCGGGCAAAAGCTAGTTAGTGTATATACACCTTAAATATCACACACCATCTACAAACACCTTGATAATTCGATAGTTTATATTAAATCGTAGTGATTCAATTATTATTAACGTAATTATGTGCAAGCAGCGTTTCTCAGACACGAACGGGCGTGAACTGAACTCGCCATCTTTTTTCCGTGCAGCGGCGCGGGTGTACTCGGCTCCTTTTTTAATATCTGCCGCTTTTCCCTATAATAATATTCCATGATGGTGATAATGATAATGTTTCGCAGGCGGACCCTCCCGCGTACGGGTCGTACGGCGCTCCACCGCCGGCGTACGGAGCCCCAGGCTACGGAGCACCGCAAGGTATGTATTTATTTATCTATTTATTTCGGATTACATCCGTATTATGTTAGTAAAAACTTAGAAACTATGGCATTACATAGTATAAAACAAAGTCGCGGTCGCTGTCTGTCCCTATGTATGCTTAAATCTTTAAAACTACGCAACGGATTTTGAAGCGTTTTTTTTAATAGATAGAGTGATTCTAGAGGAAGGTTGATATGTATTATACATGTACACCCGGGCGAAGCCGGGGCGAGTTAGACGGAGAAAAATTATAAAAAATGTTATTTTGGTGTAGGTATCGTATATATATTCATATGCATGTAGTAAAAAACGGTTATTTGAATATTACAAGCAGACACTCCAATTTTATTTATATGTATAAATATATTTAATTTGCATGTAATTGGTATATAAAACAATTTATTTTTACTGCCTTTTGTCTAATTTATATCAGTTTAATAAGTGGTTTCATCGTTAGGTTAAATAAGTTGCGTAATGGAAAAAGTAATCGTAAATGTGCATAGATGGCGCTAGTGTATTGTAACGTAAAAGAAAAATCTAATTCAAATTCAAAAATCATCTATTCATGTAGGACATTTTAGCCGCTTATGAACGTCAAGTTTTTTACATTATAACTTTAATTTTTTCCCTACCGTCCAGTTCAGTATATAGATCCAATTGAGAAGAACTGGCAAGAAACTCAATTGAATATTTTTTTTAAAGCCAGTTTCTTTACAATTTATCTTATATATAAAATTCTCGTGTCACAGTTTTCGTTCTCATACTCCTCCGAAAGGGCTTGACCGATTCTGAAGAAATTTTGTGAGCGTATTGAGTAGGTCTGAGAGTCGGCCAACATCTAATTTTCATCCCCCTCCCTAAATGTTAGGGGTAGTCAACCTCTAAATTTTTTTCTTATTTTAAGGCAAAACAACGTTTGCCGGGACATCTAGTATAATATATATATATATATATATATACATGAATAGAGATAATTAATTCTTTAGTTTCAGTTTTATTTTATCTTTTCTTACATTTATAATTTGACCTCCTGTGACCCACACACCACTTCCAGTGTCACGCTGTTTTGGGTTGCTGGAAGAGATCTCTTTTAGAGATAAGTCCTCTTTGCAAACAAAATTTGTAACACATATTCAATCAATGTATTGCGCAGTAAAGTATATATAAAGAAAGGGTAATGCGCAGCGACTCAGACAAAACTTGCAGGCAGTTCTAGTCTCACTGACTTTAAAACTCCTTATTTGTTGACGTTATAATACAGTGGCGCCATCTTCACAATTCATATAGCTTTAGATGCCTTAAACTAGTTAAGGTTGATGGGGTAGGATCTCAATGCTTTTTTTTTTTAAATGTTATTGTTTTGTAAAAGTAACTGTTTATTTGTTGACGTCATAACACAGTGGCGCCATCTTCACAGTAGGTACTTATAGCTTTAGATGCCCTAAATAGTAGTTACGGCAAAAGGTAAACTCTCAAATGCTTTTTTTTTATGATATTCTTTTGAATAAGTAACTTTATTTATTTCTATATGCAATTTTCAATTTACACGAACGTTTACTAACGATATGTTTAAGTTTTATAACCGAGGTTCAGTTTTTGTAGTCTTTTTTTATATGTACTTCAGTCTCACCTATTTCAGCTTCCAAGCAGCTTGCTTTGTAACCTGTTTGGTTGTAGGGTGCAGATTAGGCAGGGAAATTACAGGATAAGAGGCGTGACAGCTTAGTACTCTGGAATGGGTACGCGTGAGTGGTATCACGAGTGACACATGATAACTTAATAACTGTGGTGCAGTTATGTATGTAAGCGACGGTCACCACTTACCATCAAGTGGCCGTTAGTTTGTTTTTAATTCCAATTGATTAAAAAAAATAATATGATTTTTTAATCGAAATAAAAGTGGATTGTTCTCGTTTTTTTATTAAATCACTAAAAATAACCCGGAGTGTTATGTATTATGACCGGAAGGTAAGTTTTGTATATATTAACCATGCTTGCGCTTTTTTTAATATGCAATAACACACGCTTGTATCTGGTGATCGGTTATTTCATAGCAATCATAGAGTATATGTATTTACAACTAGCTATTCCCGCGACTTCATCCTCGTGGATTTTAACTTTATTTTTCTAAAATAAAATTAGTCTAAGTTACTCCTTATTACATCAGCTACCTGTCATTACAAGTCCCGTCAAAATCGGTCCAGCCATTTCAGATATTAGCCGGAACAAACAGATCGACAGACAGACAAAAATTATAAAAAATGTTATTTTGGTGTATGTACCGTATTTACATTAATATTCATGTAGTAAAAAACGGTTATTTCAATATTCCATAAGACACTCTAATTTTATTTATATGTATAGATATCTCTATTAGCCTATATATTGTATATTGGCATTTATTGGATACAAAAGACTATATTCAAATTGAAAAATAATTTATTCATTTAAGTCGCTTATGGACGTCAAATGTTTTATATTATATATTTTTTCCTACCGACCAGTTCAGTATAGATCCAATTGAGAAGAACTGGCAAGAAACTCAATTGAATTACTTTTTTTTAAAAGCCAGTTTATTTACAATGTATATTTATATAGGTGTCTGTCTAACATTAAATGAAAATCCCGTACATGAACAACTATTGCCATGCACGCTCGTCATTCAAGTAATCGTTTAGCGAGTGATAGGGTTTGCTCAGTAAATATGATTTATATATTACAGATACAAAGTCTATAGACTATAGAGACAAAATTACATCCGTACAAGTATACCGTCCTAAAATATATTAGTATCACAGTTTAGCACGAGAATTATTTGTTTTTAGATACACGAGGCTGCTCATAACTTTACCCAGATACCATGGGTTGTGTTTGAAATGGGACCTAGAGGTTGCTTGTAACGTATAAATTCTATACATTATTTAAATTGTTAACCGGGTCTTAACACGAATAATTTTATGGCAAATAAAGGTATTTACCTCTCTCGATGTTTCGACTAGTTTGCTCTAGCCGTGCTCACGAGTTGACTGGAGTAACAGCGAGAGAGTCGAGAGACGTAATTTTATGGCAAATAAAGGTATTTACCTCTCGACGTTTCGACTAGGTTGCACTAGCCGTGCTCACGAGCTGACTGGAGTAACAGCGAGAGAGTCGAGAGAGGTAATTTTATGGTAAATAAAGGTATTTACCTCTCGACGTTTCGACTAGGTTGCACTAGCCGTGCTCACGAGCTGACTGGAGTAACAGCGACAGAGTCGAGAGAGGTAAATTTTATTTGCCGTAAAATTATTCGTGTTAAGACCCGGTTAATAATTTAAATAATGTATATTAAACACGAAAGTTTAAAATTATAAACACACATCGTGGTGAATTCACAACGATGTGCTAATTGACTTGCTCCTTGTAATGTGGACTGATGATCTTATTGCTAGCAGTGTACCATGTCAGGTTGACCTCCACGCAGTTCCCCCTGGATACCATCGTGATAAAATCCTGGTGAATTTGTCACGATGACCTAACTGACTTGACTTCATGCTCATCCTATCATCCTCCACTGGTGCCCCGCCAGCGTAAACCGTTAGCACAGGCGGGTGCACCATTCTATTATCAACCATCGACTTAAAATTGTAATCTTGGTTCTACATCCACGCTATTTATGTTCTTCCTTAACTTGTGTGCTGTTTTTATTTCTTATGGCAACACTGTAATTGTTATTTTTTGTACGTTTTTACGCAGGCTTCTACTGAGGTGTACCGTAGTGAATGCTGAGCCAGCTGTAATGACAGTAGGTGATTATGTTCTTTTTTATTTTTTTTTTCTGGTTAAAGGCAAAGGAAATTACTTTAGTTATGATATATTTTTTTTCATGTTTAAGTATTCGATAATAGCTACATTTTTATTTATTTATGGAAATAAAAATGTAATAGTACAATAAAAATAATATTAGGAGGTGGTAGCAGTTTAGTGGTTGACCACACAGACTTTAGACCAAATAGTTGCGAGTTCGAATCTTAGCGACATAAAAAACTTTTTTATCACTTTATATTTCTAATTGATTCTCTGGTGATAAGAACACTAATAACAAACCAGAAGGTTAACGGCGATAGACTCGTCAATAAATTGTTGAATTCAAATATACTTAACGAAATGTAGGCAAGTATAACGATTTTCCTGTATATTTTTTTATTTAAATACTTTTCGACCTGTGAGCTTTATTAATATTTTTCTATTTTAAAAGAAAAAAAGGAAGCGCTACCTTCCTTTTTATTTTACTAGATTTCATATTTTTTACACGTGAGTCTGTTATTGGATACCTCTTTAGTTACGTAAATGTAACAGTCTAAATTATTTTCAGGTGCCTTCTAAAATTGGAATCGAACGGCCGAAGATTTTGTTTCCTGTATTATTGTTGTTAGAACATACCACAGACTATAGTGTATACAGAGTGTAAATTTCTCAGCCAGTGCCCACGGTAGAAAGATATAATTGTACATTGAAAACCACGTACGTAAGTTTATAGTAATGTTATTGAAACCTACAAGAGCTAATTCCTTCCTAAAAGGCCGGCAACACTTGCAGTTCCGCTGATGTTGGTGCTCATGGGCGGCGGTAATCACTTACCATCAGGTGAGCCGCAAGCTCGTTTGTCATCTACACAACAAATAAATGCTACATACAAACTTACAGTTAATATTATACAAAAATAATTATTTTAATTTGCTTTTATTGTTCTTTTCGTAACTCTGTAATAAATCCAGAAACTTGATAAAGGAACATCTAAGTTACATCTTGTAAGAGCGAGCCAGTGCTCAAGTTTACACTCTGTATATTATATAGTATACTCTGTGGTAGTAGTGAGCGAGTGTTTGCACATTTTGTTATTCTAGCGTATTTGTGAAGGTTTTTTAATCTGTAGAACTATTATTGTTCACTTATTATTGTGTATTAAGATTTTTTTGTAGTCTGTCAAACAGATTAGTTTTAAAATATATGCATGACTCGATTTGTCACTCAATCAGTTGTCTCAATCAACAAACTAGTTGACCAACTAGTTTGTTATTGAGATGATAAGTTGAATTTGAACTCTATTTGATATTAAAATAAGGTCCAATATTGGAGTAGAAGTTGGGAACGTCCTCCATCGCCTCGTGTGTGGATTTGTCGAACTATTTTAATGCGAACTGTTTTACAGTTCCGAAGTATGGGTAAGCAAAAATAAATAAATAAAAAGTGATATGATTCTCTGATTTTCTTAGTTTTACATATTCTAAGAGTTGCTAACTACCATGTTTTCCCAGGGCATGTATTCAATTGTGAATTCGTGTTTATATATTCCGTTTTTAATACTAAAGGTTAATTTTTGACAGTTAACTGAAATTCTAAGAACATGACACATAAATAATAATAACTACTCATGAATACAATAGTATAGAATCGAACCCGCGACCATCGGAAGTAAGGCGGTATGTTCAAGCGGCGTTCTAGGTTTTTACTATATATTAATTTAAGTATGGCAACTCTTTTTTATATTTGGAGTTGGCAACCCTAACATATGGCCTATGCTGTTGGCCGCAGCTGGCCTTTACAGCTTCAGCCAATTCTAGAGATTGACTCTACAAATCAGCACGTTAAGTAGTATATAGTACTATTGTAGTCAAGAGCAAGAGGTAAGCTCATTTGAAGTTGGGTCATAGTTTTCAACAAAGTTTGTTTAGAAGAGGATGTTGGATGTCAAAGTTGTCAGTTAACTCTATCAATTAGTTATCAAATGGAGTCATGCGTATAAGTATATGCGTTAAGTATAATGAAACCTTAATTATAAACACAAATAAAATGTACGTTTTTTTTCTAGTGTATTTTTTTGTCATATTGTTATTATGTCTCGCTTCTACACACTAAACACAAAATAAAACTTTTTAAAAGAACCTCCTTAGTCACATAATGTTAAATCTTTAAAAAAAATATTGTTCTTTTTTTGAAGTATAGATTTGACAAGTTGTTCAGACTACATGAAATCGCGAAGTATCGTTTCCCGCGTATTTTTATTTTTAATCTGTATAAAGTACAGATTTGACATATATTTTATTTAGATTTTTTTTGTATTATACCTAATTTTTTTGCTTACTTTATTGAATGCCAACATCTGTGTGTTCAACATCTATATTTTTATACATTAAAAAATAAAGTATAATGTAACCTATATTCTTCACTTATTGAACTAAAATATTACTAATATTATAACAGACTATTTTCTAAGTCTTGAATATTTTAGTTTTTTTTTATAATTAATTAAAATTGAAATAATTCCTCGCATGGTAGCTCTGATGCTCTAATCAATGCAGTCTTTGGTTGGCTGTATTAATTATAATTTATATTATAGAAAAGTTACAGAATAGTTATCTTTTAGGTTAATAAAGTATGACACCTGACAGCACAGAGTAATGTCTATATTTTTTCTTTATAACCATAGATGGTGCTGGCAGTGTTTCCAAAAGTATTTCTATTTTATATTATTTGCCTAAATAAGGCAATATAATATTTTAATTATAATAAAATATGGCTTCCAAAGTTAATACTAGCCAAGCTTGTCCTAAATAATCAATGTGAATGAGCACACTAAAGAATATACTTACTATTTTTTTACATGTACGAAATTATGAGTAGATTTCACTGTTGTATATTGTCTAAAACACGCTTGATTCGTATAGAAATAAAATTATTTATAGTTTTAAAAAGTTTTTAATTTATACTAAAAGTGTAGTAAATAATTTCTATTCCTTTCATTTGATCAAGTTAATTGTCGATTGGCCAAGTAATTATGTTGGTCAAGTCTAAATTCTAAATAGAATTTATAATTATCTATATCGTATTCTATTTGTTTTCAGTCAAGTTTATTGTCGATTGGCCAAGTAATAATTTTAGTCAAGCGTTTAATTCGAAATTAAAATATGTATCATTATGTATTCATGTAATTGTTTTTTAGTCAAGTTAATTATTATTATGGCCAAGCGTAAATTCATAATTAAAAGGCCTAATTTTGCTTTCAGTCCTTTACAAGTCGAAATTTTAAAATTAAATTATTTTATCACACTACATTGAAGTAATTAACGCAAAACTAATATAAATTTGTTATTTGAATTATAAAAAATATAATTTAAAGTTGTTATATTATTTGTATTTGGTCAAGTTAATTTAAAATTGGCTTTTAATCAAAATAATTTCGTTCTGTCAAGTTGATTAACAAATATTCTTGGCTGATGTTGTTTAATTGTATTTTTAAGTAAAACCTTGTATTGCATTTTGTATTTGTATTTGTTGTCGTAAAAGCAATTTAATATATAATTGTTTGAAATCGATATGTTTAATAAAAAAACTGTGTAATGTTTGATTTGGTTTTTATTTTATAACTAGTATCTTGTCCCGGTTTCGCCTGAGTGTTTTTTAGGGGTGAAAATGGAATGTTGCAATCGCCTGCGCTAAGGGTGCAGATAAAATGAGTTTGAAGTCAGCTCAGTTGGCACATCGTGAATTCACCAGGGGTTGTTAGGGAATGTTGTTCTAATAGGACATATTCCTAAATACCTAGCAATGGGGTGTAAAAACTTGGCTTTTTAACTATAGCTATATATAGATAGGTATATTGTACATAATTTAGGCTTTAGTTAGAATGAAAAACAAGATTACAGTAAGCACTAACTGTGGCCTATATACATGAACCGTTTTTCATCAACAAGAACATTCTAAAGGTCTAAGATATCACGCCTCTTATGCTGTAATTTCACTGCCTAATCTGCACCCTACAACCAAACAGCTTACAAAGCAAGCTGCTTGGCGGCTCAAGTAGGTGAGACTGAGGTACACACGCGGACGAGTTTTTACAGTCCACCTCTAGCAGTTGTTTTACTATTCGAACTTTTTTTCCGGACTATTCTAATGCTGTTGGCTGCAGCTGGCCTTTACAGCTTCACCAGACGATAGGAGACGAATGCAGATGGCACTCCAAACCAAAGGAAGGACTTATGGAGCGGCTGAAGGCCAACTCCCGTCTGACGGATACGACTGTCTGAGGGTACCGCTAGAGGTTCGAACCTCGGCTCAGGCCGTCGTAATTTCGATCCCCTTTGGAATTGGACGGAGAACCGAGGGGTCCTTCAAATACTTATATTTGATTTATTTTTATTTTTAAGTGATGGAAGCACTAGCCATGTTGAATTCAAATATAATGCCTACACAATGATATAACGAATAGCTAGTTAAATTATTTATTCAGCAATCACAAACAGAGCATACATGAGGTACAGAAAAAATAAGTATACAAAGAAAAGAAATGAGGTTATTTCTCTTTTTTTTTAGTTCTACATTGTATTTTTTTTTTGTTTTATGTACCGCAAAGGTGAATAAGCAACATACTCTACATAAATCTGACGCGATGATATTCTGTTGGATCATATACATAAAAAATATATGTGAATGTAATTCCAAATCATGATAGAATAAAAACAATAATATATAAATAAATTATGCCCTTTAGTATTCACTTCCATGGATAATAGTTAAGATTCTCTCACGGGAAAATTGTTAAAAATAAAATTTTATTTTTAACATCATATTAAACAAAAAAATTTTTTTTTATTTAAATTTTTTCCGGTGATAGAAACTTATATATTGGCCTATTGTCATGTTATTGTTTTTTTGTTCCAGCCTACACTGCAGGAGCGGTAAGTGTTTGATATTATTATAATTAAAATTTATACGTGCATTTCTTTAATTACCTACTCTAATAAATTAACATTTATTAAAATACCTACCTCTGCTCAATGACATTCGTTGTCAGTGTAAGTAGATTAAATTTTTTTTGGGTACATGTGCGGAGTCCTTTTGCCTCTCCCTGAGTTAGAAAAAACCGAAAAAATAATAAGAACATTTTTTCTTTTTTAAATGGTTTGGTATGTTCGTGTACTTACCAAAGTCAGATGTAATATAATAATAAAGTACAGGGTTTATAGGAAATACTCATTTAATAAACATTTACTCTATTCTAACAGCAACGATATGTATTTACATTATCCTTCATCCCTTTATCGGAAAATGGAAAAGCGCAACCCATACAACCACATTTGCAATTAATTTTAGTAGCATAAACAAAAACAATTTTTTTTTAATTAATATCTGTAACGTAACATGTTTCTATACATCTATAGGACTCCGTGTAGGTGTATGGGATTTTCCATTTCAGTTACATTAAAAAAAAAGTTTTTTTTTTAATAAATGTAAATAACAAGGTATGTTACTATACAGCCATATGACACAAATGCAACGTATGTGACGCAACAAAGGAGAGGTCTCAGCACGGGCGCCGCTGTCGGGCTTGGTGTGGGGGCGTTGGCGGCCGGCGGTCTTGCTGGGTACGCACTCGGCGGCGGGTTCAGCAGTGACAGCCCGCCAAGAGAGGAGGTATGCATCAAATATCATTGCGTTAGAGCCACGGCAACTTATTCGATTTTTTTTTACAATAATGCAATTATATATGCTGTTGGTCACTACGTTCTACTTAATTGAATTTAAAAATGAATATTTATTTTAGTAATCATTGTACGAGCTCATTTGAAAATAATAAGAGCTGAGTTTCTTGTCAGTTGTTCATAGCCCGAAAGCACTCCGAACTAACAGTAGATTTGACATACCATAAGAGTCTGTAATAGACCTACATGAATAAAAATATTTTGATACAATTTGATAGTTTAAAAAATGTGTTTATATGTACATGCATATATTTATATCAGTCGTCTAGTACCCATAACACGGGCTCTACTTGCCTTGGAACTAGATGGCGCTGTGTGAATTGTCCTGAGATATTATTATCATTAGTCACTTTTTCCCTGAACTGCTGAATGGATCTTAATGAAATTTGTATATTAAGATAAAATGTATCACATGTCAAATTATTAATGTAAAAAAAGAAGTCTCGAAAAGCAGACAAAGTCGCGAGAAACATCTAGCTAGTTTATAAAATGAAAATTTCAATTTTTATTTCAGGTCAACGTAGTTGAATTCTCAGAGAGCGCAGACTTTGGCGGTGATGACTGGATGGACTGAAACAGAAGACGCTACCTTCATCACCATATTGTACTCATCATTGTCGCCAAGGACATGTACTTTGTATTCATCAATAATAGCCAAGCTTGCTTTATTCAGAACAAAATACCATTTCTATGTATGTACAAGTAAGTTATCACATATTTTTTAGAAGCTCTAGACTTGTTTTTAAATAAATTAACTCCACATGTTCAGTCTCGCCTCACTTATAATAAAACTGTGTAAGCACTTCTTTTTAAGAACGATTACAGTTAGTTGGATGGATTGTTCGATTTGTTTCTTATAACGACAGTGCTATTTTAAAGTTAACCACATAAAATTTGAAATTGGCGCCATTCATTTGCCACCATTTTTAGTTTATAGTATTTATGGCCTTGGATATAAATTGTATTTAGCCACTTCTAAAGTTGCCATTTTAAAATAAGTACAAATTATTAATATAAAGAGAACGGTATTGGTAAATAACAATAATATTCGTTGTAAAATATAAAGTATGGCTCATAAAGAATATTCAAATAATATAACTTTAGCTTTAAATTTGCTTTTTTTATTGTCTTTGGCGGTCATTAAATGCGGCGGAAAATAAATCAATATAAATCCTCATAAAAAATCGAACAATATTATGTGCTTAATAATCATATTTAACATCTGGGCGTAAGAATAACATTTCGGTTTACTAGTGGTATACTTAACCAGTATTATAAATAATTTCATCTGATGCTCTGTACTCTATGGTTTTTAATAATATTTGGCCATAAAAATCCTTTTAGACGTTTGTTTGTTACTCTTGATATTTGAACACTAACTAAACGTTGTTTGACATATATAAAGATATGTATAAAAGACAAACTAATGACGTAACGGTGTGTAAAAACTAATAATTATGTAGATTAATAATATCAGTATTCATAATTTAAATATACGCGTGCTACTCATATCGACACTGAACATTTTTTTTATTTTCGAATGATTTTGAAATAGCTATTCCCAAATTATATTACGTACATTGTAATCTAACATTATAATAATTATGTAAAACCAACATTAAAAAGTTAAAATAAAAAAAAAAATGTAGTTTATTCTAGGCAGCTATTCAGAAACTCGTGGTCGTCGTGGTATAAAATATTGTGCAAATTATGGCTACATTATTCTATTTTCTGTATTATTTTTTTTTAATTTAAGAAGAATTGGAAAACTAATTTAATTATACTTATAATGCTTGAAGGAAGAATTCATGTGGTATTATAAATAGGTCTGGTTGCTATTGTGTTTAATCAAGTAGGTCTAAATTGATGGTTTGGGTTAAAACTTCGATCAAATTTAGATAACTGCGAATTGGCCGTTTGGTAAAGTACATATTCTACGTAATACCACGGTTTTCTGTTTAACATATTGTAATAACTTTATTATATTAATTAAGACCTGGTATTACAAATTGTGCCTTAGTTATACTGGGCTAATAAACATCTATAATTCACAAATAGATTACTTAGAATAATATATTATATAGAAAATTACAATATTAAAAAATAAAAAAAGGTAGCTACAATCATATTTAACTTTTTTTTAATATTATTTGGTTTGTGGATGGAAGAGCAAACATTGTTACGTTATATTATACACCAAAGCCCAGTGATATTAATAAAATTTAATAAATTTCTCCGTGCAAAGGTTATGAGAGTCGAAATCTAACTAAATCAGTAACCCCGGGCAACGAACATCCCCATTATAACCCATCTAAACATACTTGAATACATTTTTGTAACATAGAAACCATATTAGATCAATATGAACAGACTACTACAAAAAACGCAGAGGGCGTTGTGTCATATTAAGATTAAAAGAGAATGTCGTATGATTAAGCTTGACGACCTGGATGGTAAGTTATAACAGTCATGCCATTTAATATTATTACTATCAACTGGGTTTTGGTTGCTATAACTATTGGTTTATTTTTTTTAAACTTTAACGCTCTGAGTTCCCGTCCTCGATGTTCGATACGGGTGACGAAACGAAATTATTCATTATAATTGAGAATTAATTAAAAATATTTTAACAGCTTAGGATATATTCATGGATCTACAATAACTTACATTACCCGAACCCTTTATAATGTAATATAGGCAAATAAGTATAACTCGTTATTTTTGTAATTTATTTGTTATTACTGTTATATCATTCATAGCATTATTTAATCAATTGATTATTGTAAGAAAGTTCAAATTGGCGTGTACACATTAGTAGGTGCTAGACATATTGTATATTTCAAATTTATATTTATTAGAGTGTTAATAAATAAACATAGAATATTATGTAAATTTAAAATATAATTATCACTTGTGTGGCTTAACACGTTTGGTATCTACATTATATTTCTTGTGTATAATTATAAAATAAATAACATGAACAACTGACTATCGTTTAAATTAAACCTCGACTCATTTATATTTTTATCTCAACGATCTCGGTGGTCTAGCGGTCTTGCACACCGCTTTACGACCGATGGTCGCGGGTTCGATTCCTCGCACGGCACAAACATTTGTATTCATGAGTATGATTGTTTGTATCGGTTTGGATGTTTTCTATGTATAATAAGTATGTATTTACGAAAAAATACAGATCTAAGTATATGTACACTAGCTTTAGCTAGCTTAACTTGGGTCTAGATGGCGCTGTGTGAATTGTCCTGAGATTAGTATTATTATTGATATTATTATTTATCTGGATCCGACCGTTTACGTCGGTTGGACTAATAGAATTTAATATCTGAATTGTCAATTATACTTAACAGAAAATATTTTTAAATAAATGTACATGTAATACATAATGTCTAATTATATGTTATATGTAAATTTATAAGAATAGTTTTATAAAACAAAATTATGTTTATTTTAATAAAGATTATTACTCATACTATGTCATCTAGTACCAAAATAAAACAAGCCTGTACTATTATTTCAGGTAACTGCTAGATATATTATATTTTTAAAAATATAATAAATAATAATATAATAAAAAATTTAATGCATCTACATGTCACAAAGATGTGACTACATATTTTTATACTTAAAATTCATTATAAACAAGTACAAAGATTTTCGTAAGATTTTAATTTTACATTTAAAGTTAGTTAAAACTGTATATTTTTTTTTGCCATATATAGTAAAATGACTATGGAAAGAATGTTAGTAACATATTTACTTGAAAATTGTAATATTTCATAAAATACGTGAAACAACAAAACTGAATATAATGTCCGATTCCGATTACAAATTAACTAACCATTACGTTTAAACGAGTGGAGAGATTATAATAAAATTTAAGTACACATATGGTCTCATATCCTAGAATACCAACTTATTATTATAATTCATGTAAGCAAAGTTGGGGGATTCAGCTGTGTCAACATGTCAGAAAATACTAGTATCTATGGCCGTAACAGAATAAAAAATAAATATTCACGTTTTCGTTCCCGCCCCGGTACAATAGCCAATGGCGGATAGCGGCCATTTTGTAATTATATTGTGAACGCTTATTCACAATATTCTGGTGTGTTTTTAATAAAAGCTTTAGGCATGAGGACTTAATTGTGTTGTGATTGTGAACATTTTAATATTAATTAATAATGGAGGAAGAATATATGACCTCACAGGACTCGCAGGCTTTATGCGATGTGGTTAACCGTAACAACGATGGTAGTGATTTAGTGAGTGACGCTTCGAAAGAATTCAATGATTCTACAGGTTACGAAGATAGTTATGAAGATGACGAAGGAAACAACAGCTTCAGGGGTCGAGATAACCGTGGACGCGGGAGTTTCAGGTAATATAAACCGTAATATCGTAACAAAATATTTATTTTTGTATAAACGCGGTTTGCTGTTATGCGATGTATATTTTCAATTTTCTTCTATTATTATCATGATCCAGCACGCTTTATTATCAATATTCAATATTTACTAAGTTATTGAGCAGTGTATATAATTTAGAGTGTGGCATATTATTAACTTCAAGGTTCAATTGTTGATAAAAAACACATTAACAATTTCCATACAAATAAATAACTACTTAATTAACAGAGTCGCGTATATTGCACATGCTTCGTTAATGTTGATATTCATTATCGTTTAAAATGTATTTGTTATAATGTGTTGTAATTTATCAATTATATACCTAACATAATTTTATATAAAAATGCAATATTTTAAATATAGTTTAACATATTACTAAAAATTACAAGCATTTTGATTAAACCATTCGTGAAATTAGTAACAACAAAAGCAAAGACAAAAATTATATTATTTATACGACTGTTTTGAGTCTTTTTATGTTTATTTTTTCTATACTACAAGCACAAGGACCCTCGGAATATTTCCTATATTGCTGTTGTGTATAAGAATATAACTAATTGCTGTCTGTACCATTTACAATTGTTTGGTGTCTATATATTACTAGCTGAACCGTGCAACATAGACTGCTTAATATTTTATATCTTATATATAAAATTCTCGTGTCACAGTTTTCGTTCCCATACTCCTCCGAAACAGCTTGACCGATTCTCATGAAATTTTGTGAGTGTATTGAGTAGGTCTGAGAATCGGCCAACATCTATTTTTCATCCCCCTAAATATTAGGGGTAGTCCATCCCTAATTTTTTTTTATTTTAAGGCAAAACAATGTTTGCTGGGACAGCTAGTATTTTTGTAACACTTCATTGCCGCTCCACTTGTATCATGATCATAGTCTGCAGTCTTCCTCTATAATTGTCCAGTCCAACACTAAAAGAATTTTCAAACTTTGAACATTGAAGTTCACCCCAAACATCTAAAACCTACAAATTTTACCTTATTATGAAAGTAGTTATTTTTATTATTATGACATTGGCAAACAAGCATATTATTTATTTTACTTATAGCCTTTATGCTGATAATCATCAGCTTGCCCTAAGACATAGGCCTCCTCCAAGACTCCAGGCTCCTCTGTTACCTTCCTTCTCCATGTTGGTCCACCGCTGCCCTTATATCATCCTCCCACCTCTTTTTCTGTCGTCCTCATTCTCTTTTTTGTTCTCTTGGATACAAATCTATAACATGCTTAGTCCATTTCTCTTTCTGACTTCTTATTGCATGTCCTGTCCACTTCCATTTAAGTTTCTTAATGGTTTTGACTACATCTGTCAGTTTGGTTTTTTCTCTTATATTAGTGAGTTTGATTTTGTCTCTAAGTTTGATGTTTAGAATGCTTCGTGTCATGAATACAGGAATAACAAGCATATGGCCCATCTGATATAATTAGTCTATAACTGTTACTAGATAGAAACAGAAGCTGGAGCGAAATAGAAATAATTGTTATTCAAATAAACTTAATATAAGCACATTTGAATAGTCACATTTTTTTTATTCTACCACTCATTCAGAATGCAGCCTCATCACAAGAAGAATAAGCGAGAAATGTGTGTTGCTCTTTTAAATAAATGTTGTTTTAATTAGATTTACATTAACAAGGAATAGGCATGCGACTGTCGACATAGAAACAGCTATGCACTTAATCTCTGTTCAATCAGATAACATTTAGCACTATGAATTTTAAGTTAGATATTTTCTACAAAAACATTATTATCATTTATAAATTCTTCAATTTTATAATGAGCTTTTTTAGAAAGAAAATATTTTATAAGACATTTGAATCTTTTTTCTGGCAAATTGACTACAGACTCTGGCAGTTGTAAAACCTTATGCAATTTCCATAAAACAAATTACTTTTGTCAAACGGCATTTTGGAAATGTAATCATCATTGTCACCATACAATTAAAAAATGAGTTCTGAATGAATTCCTAACTTCTTAAAACTTTCCGCCTCACACATCTATACATATAAATAAAAATTGGAGTGTCTGTTTGTAATATTGAAATAACCGTTTCTTACTACATGCATATGAATATAAATATGGTACATACACCACAATAATTTTTTTTACAATTTTGTCTGTCTGTCTGTTCTGGCTAATCTCTGAAATGGTATTTTTTTTGGCATGCAGCTGATGTAATAAGGATAGCAGGAATATATAGGCCAGCTTTATTTTAGAAAAATTCTTTTATTTTAAATAATAAAGTTAAATTTGGACTAGGTCGCATGTACAGTTAGTTAGTGAATAAAATCTCATGCATGATGTTTTTTAAGACTTCTGTAGTTCAATGGGTCGTAGTGCTGTTGCAAAAGATATTATTACTTATAATTTGATTATCAGATCATTATATATTTATTTATATATAATACTAGCTGTACACGCGACCTCATCCGCATGGAATTTTACTTTATTTTTCTAAAAAAAAATAGCCATAAGTTAGATAGTTAAGTATTTATCACATTGATTAAGAAAACATCAGATACAGAACATCAACATATTCAGAACTAAGAATAAAAATAAATATGTGATTTAAAAATAATAAAACTATAGGTACAATTAAGAAAAATCACAGGATCTCACCACGTTTTTTTATTTTTATTGAATTCGTTATACTTGAGCAGTGTTTTAACCGCCATGATCACGGGTGAGACTAAAGAGAAATCACAGGATCTTACCATGTTTATTAAATTACATTTTTTATATTGAATTCTTGATTTTTCAACTGCCATTAAGATGGGTAAATAAAACTAATTATTAACTAAAACAGGGCCAGGGGTCGCGGCGGTCCTCCTCCCGGGTGGATGCCGCCACCGATGCGGTTCCGCGGGCGCGGCTACGGTCCCGGCGGACCCCCGATGCGGGGACGAGGCTTCTTCCGCGGCAGGGGCGGCCCCCCGCCTCGCTTCGGCCCGAATAATGGACCGAACTTTGATAACAACTGGGGGCCTATGGGTCCCCCGCCGCCGGGTATGATGGGTGGTCCGCCTCCGTTCGGGCCGCCCCCGGGCATGATGCCGCCCGGTGGGCCGATGGGACCTCCCCCTAATATGATGGGGCAGCCCCCTCCGTTTGGCGGTCCTCCGGGCATGCCACCACCTAATATGGTAAGTTATAGTATTTAATTTTTTTTATGGGTGATTATGGAATGGTGCCCCCGCCTGCGCTAACGGTTTACGCTGGCGGGGCACCAGTGGAAGATGATAAGATGAGTATGAGGTCAGGTCAGTTAGCACATCGTGACAAATTCACGAAGAATTTATCACGGTTTCCAGGGGGAACCGCGTGGAGGTCAACCTGACATGGTATTGCTAGCAATGAGATCATCATTCCATATTACTAACAATCCCTTTTCCCCCCAATAGAATTTCATTAATCTCTTCCACATTGAAGCATTCATCATTAACTTTTCCTTTTTTTTTATTTATGAGTAGTAGTTAGTGGACTAATAAAAAAGTTAATATATACCTTTCAATAAATGTATATATATTTGCCATATAAATTAAAATTCTATTAAAAAATAGGGGTTGATGCTAGATGGGGGAAATTAGAATTGTATGTATTTTTTAATGCATATTATAGATTTTTTTTCTCCTTATCTATCGGCGATCAGCCAATTAGTTTTTATCAGATTTTATAGCTTTCGTTATCTGTCGCTTTGAGTTTTTATATGCTGTTTTAAATCGTAGCCAGAAGTGACCTTTTCAGCCTGCATACGTAATCCCTAGAGTCCAATAGAGTTGTTGCTAAAGGCTTGGTATGATGTATTATTATAGAAAAATAAAAATAAAATGTACAAAAAATTAAAATAGTTGTGGACAACCCTTAACACTTAGGGGTATGATAAATAATAGTAGTATTTATTAGTTTGAATTTCATAATAATCGCTCAATTCGTTTCGGAGGAGTATAGTAACTAACATTGTGACACGAGAATAAGATTTTCAATCCCTTTCGGAAACGTCTCTGTGAGAATGTCACTTAGTTTTGTCGTTTCTTCTTCCAGCCGACCCCAGAACTATGGGTGGAGACACAGTCTGAGAACGGCAAATCATATTACTATCACTCGAGGACCCGAGAAACCACATGGACCAGACCCCAGGAGAATCCCACGTGCAAGGTCATCACACAATCAGAAATGGAAGCGATGACTGTGGCTGGTGAGTTCTTGCTATAGGTATTTTTTAATATATACTAGCTGACCTATGTGACTTCGTTTGCATCACTCTTATTATTATATATCACCCAATTCACATAGTATCTTTTTAAATAGAAATAGACATAATCTTTATTTAAATAAACTTATTATAAGCACTTTTGAATAGTCAAGTTTTTTTTATACTACCGCTCATTCGGAATGCAGACTCATCACAAGAAGAATGAGCAAGAAACTTGTGTGTTGCTCTTGTTATAGCCTATGTATTATTATGATGTATTTATTTAAAACTTTATTGACCAATAAATTATGGTACAAATGGCGGACTTAATGCTATAGGCATATAATAGGGGTGAACAACTCTTCATCCACAGACCAATTATTTTTTTTTTATTGTTGGATAGCACGTGAAGTTACTTTTTTTTTTATATAATAATTTACCAGTTTGACCGCAATCTCACCTGATGTTAAGTGATGATGTTAAGCTGTTACACGCAAGCTCAAATAGTGCCTTCACTCTTAACTTGAAAGACCCAATGTTGTAAGACGATGTCCACGATTTATTTCTATTCTAATTTTCCGCAGGTCAAATGCCAGGGATGGGCGGTCCACAGTCGATGCCAATGAACGGCCCCATGGGGGGCCCGATGGGCGGCCCGCCCATGGGAGGCCCACCGATGGGCATGATGCCCAACGGTATGATGGGCATGATGCCGCCAGGCGTGCAGCCGCCCACCGGCGGGGGATCGCAAGTACCGCACTTCATGACGCAGCCGCCACCCTGGATCAAGGAAGGTTCGTAGAAATAGACATAGAAATAATCTTTATTCAAATAAACTCATTACAAGCACTTTTGAATAGTCATATTTTGATTCTACCACTCATTCGAATGAAAATATATAAGGTACATACATTTTCTTTGTATTGCCGTACTTTATGTGGGGAAAATTTAAGAAATTCTTGTCTGTCTGTTTGTAGAAATTTGAAATAGAAATAATCTTTATTCAAATAAACTTAATGTAAGCACTTTTGAATAGTCAAGTTTTTTGATTCTACCACTCATTCGGAACGCAGACTCATCACAGAAGAATGAGCAAGAGACTTGTGTGTTGCTCTTTGGAATAGATTTTAGATGTACAATTAGCACAGCGCCATCTAGTCCCACGATAAGCAGAACTTGTATTATGGGTACTAGTCAATTGATATAAATACTTAGATTTTCTTTGTAAATACGTGCAAAAAACACCCAGACTGATACAAACAGTCATACACATGAATATAAATGTTTGTACCGTGCGAGGAATCGAACCCGCGACTATCGGAAGTAATGTGCTGAGCTAAACCACTACACCACCAAGGCTATATAGAATATACAATGTTTATCAAAAAATTATCTGTAAATGGGATGTGATCATCTGCATGAATGGCGGTCCTGCACAGTGCGGTTTCTAGAAACTTTCATTCACTTACCATCAGGTGAGCCACATGCTCGTTTGTCCTCTGTATTTTATAAAAAAAACTAGCCCTTGCCCGCGGCTTCGCTCGCATTAATTTATCCCCTTAGGGGTGAAATTTATCAAAATCCTTTCTTAGCGAATGCCTACGTCATAACATCTACCTGCATGCCAAATTTCAGCCCGATCCGTCCAGTGGTTTGGAATGTGCGTTGATAGATCACTATGTCAGTCACCTTTGAGTTATATATATTTAGATGTAATATCTATTATTTTTCTACATTGGGGTCTGTTGTATATGCAACGTGCGTATACCATAAGTTGTTATAGAGGTGGGACGCAGCCACCTCTATAACGACTTATGGTATGGCGTAACTATTAAACATATAAAGAGTGCGTAACTTACCGTCTTTGTATTTGCTCGTGTCTAACAGGGTCTATTACATTATTTTTTATAACACAATGTAAATCATGTATTAGAGGTAGTTTTTAAATAAATTTTTTCTACAGGTGGCAACAAGGACAAGTCGGACGGTCAGAGTCCGTCTGAAGGTGATGAGCTACCACCGGGAGAAGCGCCACCACTCCACCAACCGCCACCCAATGGTAATTAATAAAAAATATATAATAATAACTCAAGATAATTCACACAATGTTATTTAGTCCCGAGCTAAGCAGAGCTTGTGTTATGGGTACTAGGCAACTGATATAAATACTTTTGTAAATATATAAATAACTAGCTGTCCCGGTAAACGTTGTTTTGCGATATAAATTAATAACGCTATAAAGAAATAGGGGTTGATGATAGAAGGGTGAAAATTTAGGATTGTATGTATTTTTGTATGTTGTATCATAAAAAATAGAAACTAAAAATTTTGTCTAAAAGATAAAAAAAAATTTAGGGGTGGACTACCCCTAACATTTAGGGGGATGAAAAATAGATGTTGGCCGATTCTCAGACCTACTCAATACGCTCACAAAATTTCATGAGAATCAGTCAAGCCGTTTCGGTGGAGTATGGGAACGAAAAGTGTGACACGAGAATTTTATGTATAATATCTTAGATATAAAATTCTCATATATGGGTATGGTAGATTTGACATATAAGGATTATAATGGAATGGTGCACCCGCCGGCGCTAACGGTATATGCTGGTTAGGTACCAGTGGAGGATAATAAGGTGAGCGTGAGGTCAGGTCAGTTTGCATATTGTGGTAAATTCACTAGAAATTTATCACGATGGTTTCTAGGGGGAATAGCGTCAATCTAACATGGTACAAAGCTAGTAATAGGGTTATTAGTCCACATTACTAACAATCCTCATGAGTCTGTATTAGATCCAGGGGTGGATCTACCTAAGGGCTTTTTGGCTGCAGTCCAGGACCCCGAGGATGTAAAGGTCCCCCAGTCTCCACTGAAACGATATTTAGAATATTAAAAAATGTCTAGGATGTTAAAATACCTATCATAAGGTTGGCAACCCTGAGATCAATCAACTCATGCAAGTGCGCGTCTATCGAAAGGAACGGGGAATTTCTGGTCGCTCGTTTTTGGTCGGTGTATTTTTTTAGGTGAGTAATATAATGAGGTAGGCCCCTAAGTGGATTTAGCTCAGGGCCTCATAAATTTACGATCCTCGGATGATTAGTGTTAAAGCCAACATTGTAGCCGTAGTTTTTGCTAATTGTGTTGAACAAGCGTTATAATTTTTATTATTTGTATACCTTCAAGTTAGTCGATATTATTATCTACTTTCACTACTGTTTCTAATTGTTTCACAGCTAGTTGATGTTCTAAATTTATTATTTGTAAAAAACTAAAAGACAAAATTAAATGTACTGTTGAACTGTGCATCAGAGTTTGTTATTGACAAATTCCATTGTGTCCACTACGAGACAATTAGACCTACATGAATAAAGAGATGTTATTGATTTTGAAACATGATATGGTAAGAAAGGAAGTAAATAACGCGATGACTGCGAACAGAGATGAATGGAAGCGAAAAACATATTACGACGACCACAAATAAATGGGATAAGGAAGATGATGCAGCAGATGATGATGATTGATTTTGAAACATGTTTCATAGGTCACATGGTGGGCGGAGTCGCTAAGCAATGGGGTCCACATTACTAACCATCTCCTAAGTGAAGGAGATGGTTAGTAATGTGGACCCTTTCCACTCCAATGTCGAGTGTCACTTGCCATTGATTTTGTTCCACCAGCTCCACCGTCAGTGACACTCGACAGTGTAATACTTTTTTAGCGTGGAGCTGGTGGAATACATAGATAAAAGGCTCGGAGTGACTTATGCTACGTTGGGCGATATTTGCGTTTTAAAAAATATATTTAATTTAATTAAAACAATAAAATTATCAAAGTACAAATGTATAATTATGTATAGATCGAACAAGACTGCCCAAAATGCAACAATCAATTATATAAGTTAAGTGTCACTATTCTTGGTAATTTGCTGTTCCTGGTAGCGGTGTCAGCTTATTGTGCCACACACAGCAATTTACCAGGCGTTACGCCATGGTAACTAGTGGAAAGGGTTTCTTTTTGTGGATGATAATGAAATGGTGCTCCCGCCTGCGCTGACGGTTTACACTGGCGGGGCACTAGTGGAGGATGATAAGATGAGCATGAGGTCAGGTCAGTTAGCCCAACGTGACAAATTCACTGGGAATTTATAACAATGGTTTCCAGGAGGAATCGCGTGGAGGTCGACTTAACATGGTACATTGCTAGCAATGGAGTGGAAAGGGTTAAGAGCGTATTAGACTTACATGAATATTTTTTTTTTATTTAACAGTTTTAAAAAAGTAGGTGATTACACTAATAAAAGCTTACGTAATGACAACAAACTAGTTTTACCTAAGTGTCGTTTGACGAAAGTCAGTAATTCGTTTTATGGAAATTGCGTTGGTTTTACAACAAATTCCCAGAGTCTGTAGTCAATTTGCCAGAACAAAAATTCAAATGTGTTGTAAAATATTTTCTTTGTAAAAAAGTTTATTATAAAATTGAAGAATTTATAAATGATAATAATGTTTTTGTAGAAAATATCTAACTTACAATTCATAGCGCTGACAATGTTATCTGATTGAACAGAGATTAAGTGCGTAGCGGTTTTTATGTTGATTGTCGCATGCCTAATCCTTGTTGATAATTAAATATAAGTAATTCAATATTTATGTAAAAGAGCAACACACAAGTTTCTTGCTTATTCTTCTTGTGATGAATCTGCATTCCGAATAAGCGGTAGAATAAAAAAAATTGACTATTCAAAAGTGCTTATATTAAGTTTATTTGAATAAAGATTATTTCTATTTCTTATTTATATATTGAAGTTATCAATGCACAAAATATCAAGGTAAAAGTAATTTATATAACTTCAATGCACAAAATACCAAGGTAAAAGTACACGTGGCGGACTAACGCCTTACGGCATTTTCTACCGGTCGACCGCAGGTTGTGCAGAGAGACCGTAGGCGGTGCAAGTATAAACCATAAGAAAAATAATACCTATGTCATAAATAATATATATTTCGATACTTACTTTGAAAGATACTTATTTTGAAATGTATGTTTTGTAGGTAACATGGTGGGCGGGTTCCCGGGGGCGGGCGGGGCGGGCGGGGCCGCGTGGGGCTCGTGGGGCTGGCCGCCGCCGCTGGCGGGGCAGCCGCCGCCGGCCGCCGCGCCCGCCGGGCCCGACCACGGACACGGTACGGTTTTTTTTTTTATCTTCAATAAATCCTCCTTCAGAAACGTTTTTTCCAGACTGCTTGCTGTAGGCCGTAGCGAGCCTTTACAGCTTCACCGGACGATAGGAGGCGAGTGCAGGTGGCAATCCAAACCAAAGGAAGTACTTACGAGTTAAATGTTAGAACTCGGCCATTGAACAGTGAACACTAGGCTTCCGAATTATATCCGAACTAAAGTTCGGATTTCACTATAACCTCCAAGGCATCATCAGGCAATGGATCTATCCATTGCCTGATGATGCCTTGTTCGGAGGCAAAACGTAACGCAATATGGTAGTAGATCCAATAACTATCGGAATTTGATCACCAATAGAGAAACTGGTAACGGTAGTCAAATTTCCACACTGAATATTTGTAGTCTTATACATGCTAATTGTAGCAGAATTAAACAAACGTTAAAAAAAATTGCAATACTAAAATTATAAACATAAAAGTTTGTAAGTGTGGATGTTTGTTACTCTTTCACGCAAAAACTACTTACCGGATTTTGATGTAACTTTACAGTAATATAGCTTATGCATCAGAGTACCCATGTAAAATTTCTATATGAAATATGTGTGTTACATATTTCATATAGAAATTTTATATGGGTGAAACCGAAGACAGAGCTAGTAATCAATGAAATGATTTTGTCTGTCTACAGGATCTCAGATGTCTACAGGCACCGGGGCTCCGCTGACGGCTGACGGAGCGCCCGGGGATTCCCCAGCGAGGACACAAACACTTCCGTTCAAAAAGGATGATACGGTTAGTGTGTGATTTATAAATGAAATTCTTGTTCCGAATAGTGATATAGATCTTTCATACAACACTGCTCCTGTTTCACAGAAAGTTGAAGTTCCACCGTATATAGTATTGTTAAATTATATTAAATTTTGTATAATTTTTTTTTATATATTCATAGTATTACATAGTTCTATGTTACATTCTATTTATTGTATTTTTTATGCGCGGAAAGCACTTCGAAATTCGATAAAAACATAAATAGCAAATAGTGCAGTTATAATAATAATCTCAGGACAATTCACACAGCGCCATCTAGTCCCAAGTTAAGCTAGCTAGAGCTTGTATTACGGGTACTAGATAACTGATACAAGTGCACAGATAATTTAGCACCAATACAATTACTCATGATTGCGCCCTAATTTTCCATGCGTCCTAGCGTATGTGCCATGTAAAGGCAGCTATGATTGTGTTCAGTGGCGGAGTTCAGCACGAGAAGAAGGCGAGGACGCGACGAGCAGACAGCTGGCCGCCGCCACCGCAGCGGCGGCCGAGTGGAGCACCCACCGCGCCCCCGACGGCCGCCCCTACTACCACCACGCGCAGCGCCAGGAGAGCGTCTGGGCCAAGCCCAAGCCCATGCGGGACCTAGAAGGTGAGCACCCACCGCGCCCCCGACGGCCGCCCCTACTACCACCACGCGCAGCGCCAGGAGAGCGTCTGGGCCAAGCCCAAGCCCATGCGGGACCTAGAAGGTGAGCACCCACCGCGCCCCCGACGGCCGCCCCTACTACCACCACGCGCAGCGCCAGGAGAGCGTCTGGGCCAAGCCCAAGCCCATGCGGGACCTAGAAGGTGAGCACCCACCGCGCCCCCGACGGCCGCCCCTACTACCACCACGCGCAGCGCCAGGAGAGCGTCTGGGCCAAGCCCAAGCCCATGCGGGACCTAGAAGGTGAGCACCCACCGCGCCCCCGACGGCCGCCCCTACTACCACCACGCGCAGCGCCAGGAGAGCGTCTGGGCCAAGCCCAAGCCCATGCGGGACCTAGAAGGTGAGCACCCACCGCGCCCCCGACGGCCGCCCCTACTACCACCACGCGCAGCGCCAGGAGAGCGTCTGGGCCAAGCCCAAGCCCATGCGGGACCTAGAAGGTGAGCACCCACCGCGCCCCCGACGGCCGCCCCTACTACCACCACGCGCAGCGCCAGGAGAGCGTCTGGGCCAAGCCCAAGCCCATGCGGGACCTAGAAGGTGAGCACCCACCGCGCCCCCGACGGCCGCCCCTACTACCACCACGCGCAGCGCCAGGAGAGCGTCTGGGCCAAGCCCAAGCCCATGCGCGACCTAGAAGGTGAGTGACTCGCACACGAGGCGCTACCACACACCGATGAGTGGACCACACCATATGTGACTTGGTCATTCATTCATAATTTAAGAGTTGTGCTCTTGTCGGTGGAGCTCCCGCCACCTTCCGCATTCTTCTATCAGTCTTTTTAGCTGTTGATACGATACGACTCTAACTTTTTCGTTAACTTGTTCGATGTAGCTGTGTCTTGAATGTACAAAATTCTTTTGAAGAATTAAGGCCGGCTTCCCACGAGCCACCAACAAAGTTTGCCAAAGTTTATAACTTGTCTAAAATATGGACGTAAACGAAAAAGTATTAAAGCTTTTTAAAATACAAATTAATCAATTATTTGTCTCCAGCCTCCCTTATACCATCAAAAATGTTGACGTCACAACCAATTCGTCCGTTAGTCGCAAAAACAAATCTAATAACATTAAACAATCTAATACTTATTTATTTTCTGTTCTAGAACTACAAGCGAAAATCGCTGCTGAAAAAGGTGAAAAACTGGACAACAAGATTGAAAAGATTATTATTGATGATTCTAAGATTGAAGGTTAGTTATTTTTGTTAAGGGTCAATATTTAATTAATTATATACTATAAAGATTGCTTTTAGTGAACAGCTATATTCTTTATACTATGTAATGATTATAGTGCTCGTTCAACTGTCACGATTGCTTGCGTAAACGTATCTCGGGCTACGGGTCTTACCCACTTTGAATGTTACAAGGAAATTTCAAGTAAATACATAACTGTCTCTATTTAAGTGCATATTGCGTACTTTGTAATTTCATTCATAATTAATTCCATTACACACATTTCTTACAAAGCCGCTGTATTTTATTTTCACACCGATATCAACTTTAACAGGCTATTCGAGTGCTCAAATTTGAATAAACCCTTTTCTAATTTATTCTTGGTGACCACAGTGATCGACGTGGACGCTCACGACGAGGCTCAAGCGGCGGCGGAAGCGGAAAGACGAGCCGAGGCCGAACGAGCGTCGGCGGCCGAGCGCGAGCGAGTCGCGGCCGAGGCCGAGCGCGAGCGGGCCGCCGCCGCCGAGGCCGAGCGCGAGCGAGCCGACAAGGAGAAGGCCGACAAGGACAAGGCCGCCAAGCTCGACCGCAGCAGGCCCATCACCAGCACGCCCATCGCCGGCACTCTCTGGTCTGTACACCTAAATAAAAACATCCGCTACATCATATTTACTGAGCAAAGCCTATTACTCACTAAACGATTACTTGAATGACAAACATGCACGGCAATAGTTGTTCATGCACGGGATTTTCATTTAATGTTAGACATAGACACCTATATAAATATACATTGTAAATAAACTGGCTTTAAAAAAAAGTAATTCAATTGAGTTTCCTGCCAGTTCTTCTCAATTGAATCTGTATACTGTCCAGTAGTAGGTAGGGAAAAAATATTAATACAAAAAATTTTGATTTGTGATAAAATGTTCAAGTGATTCTGTATCACACTTACTTGACATTTGATCACATAACATTTATGATTCATTCATAAACCACTTACAATTTTTGACTTGATTTTATTAGATTAAAAACGTCTGCATCACACTTGATATTTTATCACAAATCCCTCGTGATTTTTTATTGTATTTGATTAACAATCCAAATTCAAATTCAAAATATCTTCATTCATGTAGGTCTATTACAGACTCTTATGATATGTCAAATCTACCGTCACTTCGCTATGATTTCGAGATGAGAACAACTGACAAGAAACTCAGCTCGTATTCTTTTCAAATTAATGTTATGCATATTTACAATAAAGCGGATTGATTTTTAAATTCAAATTTGTTGTCAGGTGCGTGGTATGGACTGGCGACGGGCGCGTGTTCTTCTACAACCCGACGGCGACCACCAAGTCTGTGTGGGAGCGACCTCCGGAACTTATGGGACGTGCAGACGTCGACCGAGCCGTCAGCAAACCACCGCAGCAGGTGCTCGAGCTGCAGGTGAGCAAACAGACAAATAGATATATAAATATATCCTAATAATATTATAAACGCAAATTTTTGTGAGTATGGTTGGATGTATGTTTGTTTCTTTAACCCAAAAACTACGGATTTTGATGAAATAGAAATATAAATAATCTTTATTCAAATAAACTCATTACAAGCACTTTTGAATAGTCATATTTTGATTCTACCACTCATTCGGAATGCAGACTCATCACAAGAAGAATGAGCAAGAAACTTGTGTGTTGCACTTTTAAATAAATGTTGTTTTAAGTAGATTTACATTAACAATGATTAGGCATGCGATAATCAACATAGAAACCGCTATGCACTCAATCTTTGTTCTATCAGATAACATTGTCAGCGCTATGAATTTTAAGTTAGATGTTTTCTACAAAATTATCATTTATAAATTCTTCAATTTTATAATAAGCTTTTTTACAAAGAAAACGTTTTATAAGACATTTGAATCTTTTTTCTGGCAAATTGAGTACAGACTCTGGCAGTTTGTTGTAAAACCTTACGCAATTTCCATAAAACGAATTACTAACTTTCGTCAAATGGCACTTAGGTAAAACTAATTTGTTGTTTGTATTTTTTACAAAGGAAATGTTTTATAAGGCATTTGAATATTTTTTTCTGACAAATTTATTTATTTATTTATTTATATACTCTTTATTGCACCAGGAAAAATTACATTAATAGAGTAATTAAAATAAAAGGGTACAAAAGGCGGCCTTATCGCTTATGCAATCTCTTCCAGGCAACCTTTGGGTAGAGGAGAAAAAAAAACAAAAGGTGGGAGGTGGCACTAGAATAGGAGAGAAAAAAAAAAACATAATAATAATAATGACAAATGAATAATAATGAATAACATAACATATTACATATATAAACAGTATACACCAATATTAATATTATATATATATATAAAATTGAGTATAAAATGGTAAGATTGAAGTTGTGATATGTTGTTTGCAGCGTAAGGAAGGTGGTAACGGTACAGAGGCTACCCCCAACGGAGATCGGAAGCGGCCCGCAGACACAGACTCCGACGACAGTGATGCTGATCCGCCTAAGAAACCCAACCTTGACGAAGGTCAGTCAATCAATCAATCAATCAATCAATCAATCAATCAATGAAAAAATATTTATTCATATAGGAAGTTGTTTTTTTTTTATACCACGTAGGTAGCAAACAAGCATACGGTCTGATGGTAAACGGTTACCGTAGCCTATGGACGCCTGAAACACTAGGGGTGTCACATACGCGTTGACGACCCTTAAGAAACCTTAATATACCCTTCTTAAAAAACCTCACAACATGGTAGCTAACTAGCAAACTATTGAAGGAAGAGAGCTGGATCTCCAGGAAATTGATTTTATTTCAAATTTTACCTTACCATAATAATATACCTTACCATCCAGTTCAGTCTACAGATTCAATTGGGAACTGGCAAGACAAGCCTTTAAAACAGGTTAAAATTTTTTTTTTAAAGATTTGGTGTATGTTGTATTATTTTATTAGGTTTTTGTAAAGAACTTTAAAAATGCGTGAAGTAATTTTTTTTAAATTTATATCTTTTAACAATACCTACCTTTTTTTCTTGACACATTGTCAATTAATGTTGATTATTATATAAATACATTTTAATTATTAGTCGTCTTTATGGATCGTTTATGTAATGTAAATATATAGAAATCCGGCTCGAAAGGACTAGAAATGTTTTTAGAATATAAACTAGAGGGTGCGTGTGTGCGCGGGCCTCAAGAGGCCCGCGAGGCGTTGTCGCTGATTTTTTTTGTGAAGACGGTTTTCTTTTCGAATAGACTTGGTTGGCAAGTAGAGTTGTCTGTTTTGATACGAAATCATTCATGTGACTTCAAATTGTAACAGTGTGGCAAAACTTTATGTTGTAATGTTCACAATACAAAACCTAACCTAACCTACCTTTCTGTATACTATATTAGTCTAGGGTCAAGTTTTTAATGTAGAGATTAACCTACCTTTTTGTTTACTATATTATTCTGAGGGCATAATTTCTACTGTAAGAGTCGCAATAGAAATCCTAACCAAACGTAACTTTCAGTATACCATTTCGACCTGTGGCTTTAATTTTTATTGCAATAGGCACAATACAAAACCTCACATTACCTACCTTTCTGTATACTATATTAATTTGGGTTCACAGTTTATAATGTAGAAATCATAATACAAAACCTAACCTAACCTACTTTTTTGTTTACTATATTATTCTGAGGCCATAATTTCTACTGTAAGAGTCGCAATACAAAACCTAACCTAACCTACCTTTCTATATACCATTTCGACTTTTTATTTTTTTTTATTTTGGCTTAGCTACCCGGGTGACAAAAACATTTCGTCCATACATTGTCAACTCCTTCTAATAGTTTACTATGAAAACCGATGTATCAAACTTACATCGGTTTTCATAGTAAAGTTTTCCAAATAATTTTGATAAAAGCCTTAGGGTTATTATTTATCGTAGGTAAAGGACCTATGATAAATAATAACCACTCAACACTCTTTTAATTAAAATATCATAAATATTAAAATCGGAGAAAGTTTTTAGCGCTGGCAATACTAAGATTCAATGCCATCCCATAAAAGCGGACTCGCTGCATGGTTACAATGTACCAAAATAAAAAAATCTTCCAAATTTTGTTCAAAGCCAACCTCGGCGACCATCTTGGATTTTTCCATTTTGATACTTCTGACGTATATATTACATGACGACAGATATATTTCGTCCATATAATGTACAGAGACACGGTCCTTTTAAAATATTCGGTCGGTTCCTTAGTAAATATTACTTACTACGAAAATCTATGCATGGTGTTGCCCCCTAATTTTACAAAAAATTGCATAAAACTATTAAGATGAGATTTATTATAGATACCCGTCACTTTTATGTTTAAATGTCGAAAAAAAATTCCCACATTTAAGGTTTGCAAAATTACCCAAAAATCGGGGAAAATTTGTAGCCTATATAATACTTCACGTCTTTGCTCCATAGAAGTAACTTGCTGTAAGAAATAAAATACTACCCCAAAAATGAGTTTTAAAACGTCCCTAAACTTGTCATCGGGAATAAAGTACCCTAACTCGGCCGCCATCTTGAATGATTCCATTTTAAATAGTTGTTTTAACATATACACCTTGGTGAGAAACATTTCGTCCATACATTGTACAGAGCCAAGGTAACTCCTTCTAGTAGTTCCTAAGTACTGTTTACAATGGAAATCTATATATGGTGTTGCCAGCTCATTTTAACAAAAAACACCTAAGACCCCTTGGGGATTATTTTTGACAGATCGTCATCATTGTTTGGTCTAAAATGATGAAACAAAAAATTCCACGTTTTTTTTTACTTCTCTCCGATATTACCCTAAAATCGGGGAAAATTTTTAGACCAGATAGTGCTTCGTACCCAGAGTTTCCACTGTTCCATAAAAGTCAACTCGCTGCAGTGACGATGGGTACCTGAAAATTGAATTTAAAAAAGTACCCTAACTCGGCCGCCATCTTAGATTTTTACTTCTTAATACTTTTGACGTATTCACCCTAATAACAGAAACATTTCGTCCATACATTATGTAGAGTCTCGGTGACTTCTTCTTGTACTATTCCCTAAGAAAACTGATCTAAGATGTTGCCAAATAATTGTGACAAAAACCAATAAGGGGATGATTTTTGACAGATATCCATCATTATTTTGTTTGAAATATCGAAAAAAAAATCCCACATTTTGGACTTGTCTTCTAAATTACCCAAAATCGGGGAAAATTTTCATACCATTTTTCCTTTTTCGTCCATATATTGTACAGAGACACGATCCTTCTAGTGGGTCCTTAGTAAATATTACTTTTTACGAAAATCGATGCATGGTGTTGCCACCTAATTTTACAAAAAATCGCATATAACTATTAAAATGATATTTATTATAGATCTCCGTTGCTCTTATATATAGTTTGTCGAAAAAAAAATCCCACATTTTGGGTTTGCAAAATTACCCAAAAAACGGGGAACATTTGTAACCTAGGTAATATTTCGAACCGAAATCTACCACGGCTCAATAAAGGTCGACTCGCTGCAGGGAAGCCAGGTAAATTTATCATCAGAGAAAAAATACTCAAACTCGGCCGCCACCTTGGATTTTTCCTTTTTTAAATACTTTTAACTTATCCACTTTGGTGACAGAAACATTTTGTCCATACATTGTACAGATGTAAGGTGACTCCTTCTAGTACTTCCTTAGTACTGTTTACTATGAAAATTAGTTAATACTTCGCACCGAGAGTTTCCATTCCTCAATAGAAGTCAGTTCGCTGCAGGGTTGATAGGTGCCACAAAACTGAATTTACTAAAAAGACCTTAAAATTGTCATAATAAATAAAGTATCCTAATTCGGCCGCCATCTTGGATTTTTCCTTTTTAAATACTTTTAACACATACATTTTGGTGACAGAAACACTTCATATATACATTGTACAGAGCCCAGGTTACACCTCTAGTTCCTTAGTACGGTTTACTATGAAAATCGATGTATGGTGCTGCCAGATGATTTTGACAAAAACCACCTAGGATCCTTTGGGGGATGATTTTGAACCAATGCTCATCACTGTTTTGTTCAAATTAACGAAAAAAAAAATTCCCACGTTTTTTTACTTTTCTCCGAAATTACCCCAAAATCGGGGAAAATTTTTAGACCAGGTAAAATTTTCCACCGAGAGTTTCCATTGCTCTATAGAAGTCAACTCGCGTCAGGGATTAATTGTACCCCAAAATTGAATTTTAAAAAGTCCCTAAAATTGTCAACATAAATTAAGTACCCTAACTCGGCCGCCATCTTAGATTTTTACTTTTTAATACTTTTGACATATTCACCCTAGTGACAGAAACATTTCGTTCATACATTGTATAGAGCCTCAGCGACTCCTTCTAGTTCTATTCTCTAAGAAAACTGATGTAAGGTGTTGCCAGATAATTCTGACAAAAAACACCTAAACTCAATAGGGGGATTGTTTTTGACAGATTTTCATCATTCTTTTGTTTGAAATGTCCAAAAAAAATTTTCCCACTTTTTAGGACCTATCTCAAAAATTACCCTAAAATCGGGGAAAATTTTTATACCAGGTAATACTTTGTGTTGAGACACATCATCTCTCCATAGTAGTCGACTGGCTGTGGGGTTGCCAAGTGTCCTAAAACTACATTTAAAAATATCCCAATTTTTCTCCGAAAAGCAAAACTCCCCTATCTCTGCCGCCATCTTGGATTTCTAAAATTTCATAATTTTCCCTAGAGGCCGAGTCCTTCGGCTATCCGACGCCGTACAGTGCGTTGAGCTAGCATACTCGTAGGTACCCTATCAATTTCAGTTTTTGAAGCTAGACCTCAATTTCAAAATTTGTCCGATGATGTATGGGTGTTGCCAGCAAATTCTGAAGAAATCCACCTAAAACCCTTCAGGGGACGATTTGTAGTAGACCAAAACGAGTTCTTCATTTAAAATGTCAAAAAAAAAATTTCCCACTTTATGGGACTTTTTTCCAAAATTAACCCAAAATCGGGGAAAAATTTTAGACCTGGCAAATCTTCTTACTCAGACTTACCCATGTCAGTAGGTGGCGTTTAGCTGCAGGGTTGCCATGTGCAGCAAAAACTCGATTGAAAATATCCCAAATTTTTTCCAAAAACTAAATCTCCCATAGCTTGGTCGCCATCTTGGATTTTTGAAATTTCATAATTTTCCCTAGAGGCCGGGTCTTTCAGCCTCCCAATGCCCTATAATAGGGATCGGTAGCTCCCCCGCAAGTACCCTAGGAATTTCAGTTTTTGGAGAGACACCCCAATTTCTATTTTGGTCAAACCATGTATGGGTGTTGCCAGCAAATTCCAACAAAACCCACCTAAAACCCTTTAGGGGATGTTTCTCGATAGGCCTTGATGCCTCTTTTGTCAAAAATGCCGAAAAAATTTTTTCCCACTTTTTGGGACATTTCTCCCAAATTACCCTAAATTCGGAAATTCTTTTTATCGCTGGCAATACTTCTTACCGAGACCCATCATCGCCC